AAAGGTCTCGGGCGCCAGATACCACCTTAAAAGAACACAGAACCCACCACAAACACAACAAATACCTCGGACATTTCAGCCAGCTTTGAACCTTTTTAAAACAAGGCGGGAGGACAGCTAAAGAATACAATATGTTAAGTTCTAATGGCTGTTTATTATCCCGTAGTGTCTGTAGAGTACAATGTGTCTTATGTCTCTAATTACATTAGGTAATTCTTATACACAAATTAGTACTGTCATTAATGCAATCCTTTCCAATAAGAAAATTATAAGGTTAAATAAATTTTAAAGAGTCACATGAAGACCCAAAAAGAAAAGAGTATAAGGGTAGTTGTAGCAACGCCCTACTCCCTTAATTAAAATTAACCCCTTTGGGGACCTGTATAGGTTTTTTAAACAAAGTCGCATAAAGACTTAATAGACAAAACAATAAACTCTAAGGGTAGACATAGCATTGACCTACTCTCTAATAAAAATAACACCCCTTAGGGACCTGCAGTATTCAATGCCACGTCGCCAAGAAAAATATAACAAAAACACATACCGATGACCTTGGATCAGTCCGAACGAAATGAAATCAAACCAACTCCGAAACTTCTCACTCCGGTTCCCACGTGGTGTTAAAGGCGGGTTAGCACTCCCCGGCTCCAGACAATGGCGTGCAGCTAAGCAGCTTTTTCTACCAATCCGGTGCTCCACAGCAATCTAATTTCTTGGGGTCAAACTCCGGCGAGAGACAAAAATCGAATGCCACGCAAGGACATTCCAATAAGAAAGTAAAATAATTTAGGTAATGTAAAGACTTAGATTTAAGCTAAAAAAGAAAAGAACCCTGATTCATCAGGGTTCTAAAATGCTTCACAAATCAAGCAGCGGCATTATAAGCATTGCCTTTTTTATCAAAAATAATCACTCGACCCACTAGCTCGAGTCTTAACTAGGTTGACCAAACAATTAAAGAGGAAATAGGCCCTCGTCCATATCAAATAAATACGGATTACTAAAAATTTAAATGACAAGTCTCCTTTGCCTCATTTCGCTCGGCGGCCGGTCCAAAAGTGAAAGTCAAAGTGATACCAGTGCAATCGTCTCTCGCTCTATAGAGCGGGGACACAAAAAATGTTGCCAGAACAAGAAAAACTAAATCGACTTACTAATCGCGGGCGAACAACATCGACTACTACTCTCGTCCGCCCCACGACCATCGGCACTCGCAGAAACGACAAAAAATTCAATCTAACAAAACAAAAACGAGACAAAGGTTCAAATTACTGTAATGGCGCGAAATGCACCGTTACAATATATACATTTGAATGGCGATTAGTGTGATATAATTTATGTTTTTGCATGTACATGGTTTGTTTCCTGTATTTGAATTCTTTATTTTGAACAAAATAATGTTAGAGTAAAATTTGCCATCTTTAATATTTAATAAATTTTCCTATTAGCTTTTTGAACCCTGTGTGTTTTTATATAAATATGTATTAATTGATAATTTTGATTATTGCTGTTTGTCCATACATTATGATACATTTTACAATACATTATCATATTACAATCATAATTTACAATATAATATTACTAATATCGTGATGTTGGTGATAGCCCTTACATAATTTAAAATCATAATTTCCAGAAAAGTCGTAGATGTAAACAGGCATAGTTGAGTTAGAAAACAATGTTTGTAAATTAGCGTCGTGAGGTCTAGAGGCGGTTTCAACAATAACCCCACGGCAAAACAATTTACTGCGGCATACAAACGCTTAGTCTGTCACGTAGAAGTACAGATCAGTGGAAATGCAAATTGTTTGCCATTGGAAAATATCACATTGCTCAACGCACAAACGCAACGTACAGTCGATACACTGAATATTACAACTGGCGTTAGCCTGATGACAAGATCCAACTCAGACTTGTTGGCTAAAACATTAACATCTGAGGTTGAAGGCGAGGACTCTCGATTCATTGAAGGAATGCCATGGATACCGGAGGGCATGGAATCAATAGTAAAACCGATTGTAGAGTACATACCTATGTGGTTATATAGTAAAAAAAAATCTCGAAAAAAAATACTTGTGAACCTTGCCTGACCGCACTTCACGGTGAAATTCAAGAATCTTCTTTTATACATAATATGAAGGATTTAGGTGGACTAAATTATCCATCTCAAGATGTAATAGGCTTAAAATGTGAACAAGTTTTCCGAACATATTTAAAGGACAATATGTCAATAATTTTCCAAAAAAATGTTGCTAAATGCCTTATTCTATGTCGGGAGTGTTTCAGGAATCGTGATAGCCAAACCTCGTAAATCATAAATATATATTAATTAAACTGATTATAGAGATATATGTGTCTATTAGAATTGAATATGAGGCAAAGTTGTGTAATGCAACCAAAAAAAGTTTGAGACATTTCTATAATAAATTAATATTGTTCGGAGGAAAATGAATTCCTATACATGCTTACAGTTCTGTTTTTGATTAAATATTGTTGGTGGTTAAATATTCATGTTTCTAAAATAACGAGCAATAGGTATTGCGTAATATTATTATCACTTAATTAACACATTAAACATTTAAACAGTCCATTGTTTTTGTGTATACACTAAAAATTATATCAATAAAGATTTGTCTTTTTAATTTTGTAGTTTTCTTGTACTTATTCGCACTAAATACGTAACTCTGAATCCCTGTGGATTTATTTATACCAGTTGGTACAGGTTATCGAAAAAAATAATTTTGCATGGCGCATCACTAGCACGTTAGACACACATGCAAATTTGATGCACACCATTGCATTTCTTTTTTGGTCTCGCTTATTGCAATGCACAACCAATCTATGGTATTCCATATCTATGGTCTTGGGTATCAGTAGCCGGGGAACCAGGGTAGCGGGTGTACCCTAGGAAGGAAATCCTTGGAACCACGACGGACCCCGGGCGACCTACGACTTGTAGATGACTCCCTCGTGTGTAGGAATCACGGTGTTCCCATTCTACAATAATATAATATTTATTTATAAAAAAAAATAACACATTTTTTACAAAATCAATTAAAAAAATATATGAATAAATATTTGACTCCAATTTGTTAGGTACAGTAAGGATTAAACAATTAGATGAAAAATGTTATCACAATACAGCCTTGTATTATATGCCTTAGTACACCTTTTCTATACAATTAATCTTTACCACACTTGTTACTCCACTTAATGCCAACAAACGACTCCTCGTGGCCCTTTTCTCAAACAAACAATCTTAAGCACCGCCCTTAAAGTCGCGGGGCAAACTTAAATCAAACCTTGGCATTTAACATAATCTATTAAAAATCGGTTGTCTGTAAAGTCGGTTTACTGACGATAGTTGAACGTGACAACGTCATAAGAAAATACTGATGGAAAGGTTGCATTTTTCAAAAGAAAATTTTAATTACGCTTCATACTTGACGAAAACATGTAAATGTATTATTGTATAGCAGCTGTCCACGCGGACGCATCGCTGACTCAAGTAGGAGAGAGACAGATGTCAAACGCTGCCGAACGCGGAGGCCGATTGTGCCTATTTGTCACTCGTTCCGCGCTCTCGCTTGCACTTCACGCCTTAAATGGAAAGCCTCAGAGCGAAGTAACTCCGCATGAGTCATGTAGGCATGATGACAGATTTTGAAATACCTTTCTATAATACAGGTAGGCGTCAACTATTTACGGAAATAACATGATTTCAGCAATCAGATGAGTTTTAACGTAAATAATTCCATTTCTTTTCATCTACTTTGAAATTCGCGCGCAAACGCTCTGAAGTGTCATTTCGTCTGCGATGACGTCACGCCTAAGTAATTACAACATCTGTGCTCAACGAAACAAGTCAACAAAGTGTTATCTACGGGTTTTGTGTGTTAAAAATGAATTCCAAAATTTATAAGTGGTGTGCGGTACCTGATTGCAAAAATACATCAATAGCAACACCTAACAAATTGTTTGTTTATGTTCCAAATAAGAAAAAAATGAGAGATACATGGCTAAAACTCGCGCGACGAGATCCAGCAGGTGTAGTTACGAATTCGCCAATTTATTTTTGTGAAGACCACTTTGATGTAAGTATTTGATATAGATTGATAGATATGTAACTCAAAATCATTGTTAGAGATGAAATAGTTGAAGTGATTCACAATATAAAAATTGTTAAGGTTATGTTTGTTTTGGTCTGTTATCAATTTCTATATCACATTTCTGTTTTCAGCTACCAAATGACATGGAAAACTACATGCAATATCATATAATGGGGTCAGTATCACAAGTGCGTATGAAACCAGGATGTATTCCCCATAAATTTGACTGCCAACCAGATAGAAAGTCACGAACTTGTAATACCGTAGACCGACCATATATAACTAAGAAACGAAAGTTGATGGCTCTTGAAGAGTGTGAAAAGCAATCGGAAGAAAGTAGTATGGTTACAGAACATTTGAATTTTGAAGAAACTGCATCAAAAAGTTCAGGTATACATTTTTTAAGATTGCTGTCATGTGTTTTATTATGATTTAAAGAAACAAGAAAGTAAAAATATTATAATGAATCTAATTAAAATAATAATAACAAGTTGTAATTAAATTATTTTAATGTTTGGTATTTTTGGTTATAATGAAAATCAATAGCTATTGAGATGATAACTCCGAAAAGTGTGTTAATCGTCTATGTATTGTTACTTTATCTATAGTATTGTATAGGCATGTAAAGAATACACAATTTATTGTGATATTTTCTTGACAGTTCAACACAATCCTGAAAAAGCTTCTTCTAGCAAGCAGCCAACAACATCAAAAATGATAGACAAATCAATACAAGTTTATATGACAAAATCATTCAGAAGTAAAGGAAACCAAACAGAGATCAAATTTGTAAATCAAATGACATCACCATTGAAGCCGTACCTGCATTCTGTCTCTACATCACCATTTAAAATCAATCTTGGTGTTAGTTGTAACCCATCAAGACCCAATTTAAGTGTGTTGAGAAGAATAAGAAAAGAACATTTGTATCTGCATCTGGGCATAGCATTTGTTACTGGGTTTACCATTTTTTATATATTTAATATAAGTTTTTTCGCTTATGGGGCACTTAATCTCAATAATATTATCTTCACATATCCCATCAGGTGAACCAGCTATCATTGGATAGTTTTTGGATATTATGAGTCCACAAGCTTTAATCTTTTTCCCCAGTTTTACACCAACTGTTTTCCGTACTTCATCCTCTAAACTTCTACCCCGTTTCATGGCTCTTGTGTCTGGGATTTTCCCTCCCATGATGAGAGATATCAGTGTTCCATTACCTTTTTGGCACCGGCTGACTTCATAAGCCCTAGATGCTGTAATCCGACCATATCTTAATTCATACCAAAGGCTATTTTTGTACTGGTCTCTGGTCTCAATCTCAATTTTACTTATGATTTTATCACTCAAATTGATTCTACTTAAGAATATATCACTGCAATTATCTTTATATTTCAGCACAAGTTGGTGCATTGATGCACAAAGTAATTCTTTACAAACATAGCTTGATTGAAACCTTATTAACTCACAATTTTCTATTTTTATCTTTTTACTTTCTTCCAAAAAATTATCCAGCACTGTTTGATTAGATGGTAAGCTAGGTTTACCATTGGCCAAATCTTTAGCAGTAATAAATTTCAATGTAGTGCCAACTCTGGACAGTTTGGATTTTAGCCAATAGCATTGTACTTCAGTAGAAGATGGTTCTTCGCTCCTGCGATGGACCCACATAAGAAGTGCTATGGCATGCTTGCACCCTCCTTGAGCAGCAACACAATCATGGCATTGAATAGATATCACTTTTTCTTCGTCTTCATCAACTATCAAAGTTACTGTATATAACTTTGCATGGACTTTATGCACTGGACAAATTTTGCATTTTACAGTGCACATTTTTCCTTCTCTTTGAAGTTGCACGTAACTTATAGCGTCGTCCCCATATGATGGTCGGGAGGATCTAAAATTAATGAAATTATACACAAATACAGAAGGTAAAGAAAACATGGTGGTTATTAGTGCAGAATAAACAACTGACATTACATAGATGTTTCATTTAAAGGTGTAGAAGTGTTTCATAGTTAAATAACTGTTTTGAAAATGTTAGGGCGTTCTTTACTTGCGAGTAAAACCTGTCAAACTTATAGATTACCTCCCTTAAAGAGAATTTTACATATGATATTTAAAACGTTAATAAGGTTAACAATAAATATTAATAAAATGTACTTACAAGGAACTTTTCACATTTCGATATTCAGATGAGCAAAAATCCTTATTTGATGAAAGAAAATCTCCCAACATCAACAAGTCCATCCTGGGCAAATTAGAGCTATTTGCCTTAATAAAACCTTGTTCCATCGTCGATGATTCTTGGATCTTTTATCTTTATGACAATAACCACGAATAAATCAGAAATTAACTAATTAAATAATGCAACAACAACTTAAAAAGTGTAAACACAAACAAAATTCGAAAGATTCTGTGATGTTTACTTAGGCGTGACGTAAATCGCTCGTTTCAGCTAAGATGGCGGATGCCTATATTTTATACTTTTATTTTATTAAAATCTTATAAATCTGGGTGTTTTAATTAAAACTATGTAATTTTGTAGAACCCTTTCAATACATTTTTTACTTTTAAACCATTTATTCTATAATTCTTTAACACTGTCATCATGCCTATTATAAGACTTCACGTCAAAATGTATTTCAGCATTAGGCCATAGACAAATTGTCCTAATGTAACTACTTGACACTTTATGACGATTATTCTATTTAATCATTTATATAACATTAACATATACCTTTTGTTTTTAGCCTTCAACGAGTCCCACAACATCACAGCAAAACGATATGCGGAGAAAAAGGAAAGTGTCCTTACCCGAGGTAGTTATAATATAATATCATTTATTTTAAAAATAAATTTTGTACCACATTCATACAACGCCATCTAGTCCCAAGCTAAGCAAACTTGTACTATCTATCTATAGAAAGCGTCTAAGCCCTCATTTTTTCAAATAGGCATAATGTAACATTGTATTAACGCTTACTCAGTTAGTTTATTTTCGCCGTTTAAGTAGCTTTTTTGAAATGATAACTTCTTATCTGAGGGTAAACCGCTTCGTTACGTAACGCGTTACGGCGCCAGTCTCTCTGGCTTCCCTTTCTCTCACGCATACGGCAGCGGAAGGTAAGCTCCTCTCTCAATCTAACCCACAGCGCTAACCGTATTTCGGACAGACGCTTTACATAAAATTTAGGTAATAACCTAAGATTTTCTCAAGGTAAACATTTTCAATATTAAATAGTTCAACTTAGTTTAAGTTATCACTTCAGTCGGGCGTCCCGAAACGCCTACGTTTTTTTTCTTTTTGTCTGTTTTCTTGTTTTTTGTTTAACCCACTTGCTTACAATAACTTCTGTTTAGTCTGAAACTAGAAGTGAAAACTTGTAATTGGTCCTCAGATGATTACTCTGTTTCCGTAGGACACCTTTTAATTTTTTTCTGTGCGTACATCCCCTCGAACCGACTAAAAACCTCACGCCGTCTCGGGTACCAATAGCCGGGGAACCAGGTGTACCCTAGAAAGGTAATCCCTGGTACCCCGACGCACCTAAAATCATTGACGAAATCTACACAAAAAAAAATCTTTTTAGTTTTTTTCAGTCTTATTTTGATCTAAAAACTTGACAGTAAGTAGCAGACCTGCCCTAATCTCCATTATTATTATCACTCGTCTCTCCAGGCTAAAACCATCATCGCTAATGTGTACGACTTCCTCCAAGCCGAGTACGAGTACTTAAATAGTTACACCGGAGACAGTTGTGACTTCAGCCCTTTAGCTAACATCGTCAAGCGTACTGCTGCAGCCACGAGGGTCAGTGAAGCGACCGTTAAAGAGATTTTAGAGGAAAGAAGCTCAGAGGAGTTTGCATCAAGCAAACGCGCCAGAGTGACTCCCGACTTTAAGGACGAGGATGTAAGGTGAGTGGTTATCTTGACTGAAGTGTTACAGAGACATAATAATATAATTCGGAAACTATATATATATAGTTTCTATATAACACCACCTGTTTTTGCTCGATACAGCCCAGGCCATAACGCGGTTATAAAAGGATACTGTTTTTTTTCTTGTTTTATACACTTATTAGTCAAAATTAACTTCAGGTTCAGGGTAAGTGAACCCTGACTGCTACGCCAGAGGTCGTAGTTCGGTTCCCACCCAGGAAAAATAATTGTGTGATGTGCACGGTCGTATGTTGTGTCTGAGTGTCCTTTATCCATAATATGTATAATAACAATAATAACCTCACACATTTCACACAGGGCTGTCTGATCCCAAACTAGGCAGAGCCTGTACTATGGTAACCAGACTGCTGATACTTATATATTTCTAAATACATACATATTATAGATAAATTTACACCCAGACACAGATCAAACGATCGTGCTCATCACACAAATATTTGTTCTGGGTGGGAATCGAACCCACAACCTACGGTCCAGTCAGGGTCACTAACCACTAGACCAACAGGCCCGTCATGTATTTAGAAATATATAAGTATGTTTATCAGCAGTCTGGTCACCATAATACAGGCTCTGCCTAGTTTGGAATTAGACAGCCGTGTGTGAAAATGTATGAAAATATTATTTATTATTTAAAAAAAATAGATTCAAAACAAAATTCAACAGAAATCAACGAACGAACGCTACCAGTAGGCGATGACGTGGAGGAATTTTTAAATGTTTGTATGTAAATAGTGCAAATGTTGTAAATATTTTAATTGCAGTATAATACAAGTATATTTCTTTACCAATTTAAATATTTAATAATACAAATTTAAATAAGTATAAAATAAAAATCAACCGTGAGTTACATTGACCGAATTTTTATATTATTTTCTGACAAAATCATACCCGTAATCCATGGATAGTTCGCTCGATTGATAAATCTAGTAAGTTACTCAAAGTCCGTGTAGTGATGGATAAAGAATACGGAATGTCACTACCCCAATTCATCCCGTTGGTGTCGTAAGAGCCGACTAAGGGCGCAAAACAACGCAGGAAACCAGCACTGCAAAAAGAAGGATAACTTGACACAAACCCTATACCAACCCGTCTGGCCAGCGTGGTATAGTAGGCCAAAACCTCCTTTCTAAGGAGAGGCCTATGTCCAGCAGTGGACTATTAAAGGCTGCTGATGTGAAGTTACTCAATGGGTCAAAAATAAATATCATTATGAAGGTAAATTTTTACAATAATCAATGTAACTATGTCATAGATCAAGAACTTATAATATATTGTTAGATACAAGAAAAACATTTCCATGTATGATCAATGTAGAAAGTTGGTATAATTGCGTACCAACACAATATTTAGTTGGTACATGGTACAATACCCTGACAAATGGTACGTATACGCGTATTATCCCTTCGCGGTAGGCGGTTGCGTATCGAGTGGATACCGATCTCGAAGCTTAGCGCGTAGGTATGACTAACTAAGCATAGACAAATACAATATTGTTTTCTTTCTGTTCAGTCCGATCAAAGAAGAGTCAAGTGGTGAAAGCTCAGATGATGATGAACATGGTGACGGAGAAAGGTGAGTGTTCCTCTAGGTGTTGGTCTCGTCTATTAATGTTTCATCTGCTCTAACTTACTTCTGTAGAGGTACGCGTCCAGAAAAGTCCACACTGGACCTGTTCCAGAAGAAGGATCATGTTGGAACGAAGTTCCTTATCGCGCGTTGTGAAAGGGGCTAGACGGAAAAAAATCTCACAAAAAGTTGTAACGACACTTTTTATTTTGAATTGTCACTTGTCAGACATTCAGCGCCATCTATCGAATAGATAGGAAATCATTACTTTTAATCTCAGTAAAATTAAAATTTATGTTCTTAGGTTGAGCAAAAAATATTGTATTCGACATCATTTCTCAAGGAGATTTTACCAATGTATAAATTGTTTTAATTAGAAACCAACTGAAAAATATGTAGGTAATAGCCGCTTTCATAGATGGCGTTGTAATTATTTGTACATAATAAATAATAATAATAATGAATCCTGACCGTGTTTCTGCACAATTTCTGCACGATAATAAATGCTTTTGTATTTTTAGCAAGTACGCATTATAACCTCTCTTTATTATTGTGCTAACCAAGTCATACGCATTATAATCTCTCCATTATTGTGTGTTTAGCAAGTGTACGCGTCATAATTTTAATAAATTCAAAAGCAAATCATATTTTAGTATTTCAATATCAGAACGTATGTATTTAGCAAGCCGTGCGTGTTCTAACCTATACGCTGTTGTGTTTACGAAGTCGAGAGAGTATAATACACGGTGATTTTATAGGCATTTTGGAAACGAAACATTTTAATTATACTATTTATTACTATAGTACCAATAAAAATGGTTATATCAATAGGGAATATGCATGTTTTTTTTTTAACGACTCTACTAGTTATTACATTACCAAAAATAAATATAACACATCCGAAATATAAACCGTTAAGCAAAAACAAAATTATTAAAATCACTATCATTTTGGGGCAATTTAAACACGTCCATTTTGGCGCGCTTTTTTTGTGACGTCAGATTACACTTTCAGACGAATTCGATGTCAACAACGGAGTGAAGTTCACAAAGTTTCTGAAAGTTAAAAAAGTGAGTGATAAAAATTAACTTATTACCATGGAAAAGCCAAACAAAACTTATTATAAATATTATGCAGTTCCTTTGTGCCCAAATAATATCAAAAGTGCACCTGAGCGTATTTTAGGTTATATTTAAGTTATACGACTATTAACAAAACCATGAAAACTTATATAACTTGTTTACCTCGCAGCTTTTACTCCTCCGAGTTCAAAATCTGAATTGGATGCGAAATAGGTGCTCATCATAAACACGTCTATTTTAGGAAGATTATCTAATTGTGCTTTGACAAAACCGGTTTCAGTCATTGTGTTGAGTCTTTCTACACGGGCATTTAATAATTTAACACTGAAAACGTATTAGTTATTAACTTAAAATGAAACAAAAAATCACCAGAAACCAAATATTACAAATACACACAACTTGTTGACACTCTTGACAGTGTAGGTTGACGTCACGTTCTATTCAACCAATAGCGTTGCGTTTTAGAAATTTGCGAGGGAATCTTAAAAAAGCCAATTTTTGATGATTAAATTTCACTATTAAATTATAATAAATTTCAAAAATAATTGTATGGGTATCTTTTTTTAGCAATAAAAGTTACAAATAAAAATATTTTGTCCATTTTGGTGTCACGTGCATATTCCCTATTGTAATGTTGACTAAAAAAAGTTTCAGTTTTAATATTCATTTTTACTCGATCGACTTGGAAAGTAGTAATGAACTGATCATTCATTCATTATCTTACATGAATGAAACACGTCCCGCTGCTATAGGCGCGAGCTAGCGAGTACTTACGTAGATAGACGCCAGTTTGCCCTTCATACTTTACACGGGCTTAGGACCGTCGGAAATACCTATTTTATTAAAACTTCTTTTCGATTATTAACCACGATTGTTCTTTTCACAACAAATCAATTTATCAAAGGACTGTAGGTATAAATATTTCATTCGTATTTAAAAAATCGAAGCTATGTACAGAATAATTAACTTACATACCAATTTACAAAGTCCCGCGCATCTATGACGTGTATGCAAGAATAGACAGATAGAGTACATATACACGGTGATTTTGAAAGCGTTTTGGAAAAGAAAATTTTGAGTTATTTATCAGTAACAGAAGCTATATATAACGTTATTTTAATAAAATATATATATTTTTTATCATCAAAGTCGATATTCATATCGATTACAGAGAAAAGGTGAGAACCAGTAGTAGGGCTTTTCAATCGCAAGTAGGTAAATACTACGAATAGAAATACTATACTCACGCGCAAGGTCAAGGACGTTTAAATTATTATTCGCCGGAGTGTAGTGCGTGCATACCTGGACAATGAGTTTAGTGATCGGTGGATAGGTCGAGGAGGGCCAGTGCCTTGGCCACCTAGAAGCCCGGACTTAACGCCCCTGGATTTTTTCTTATGGTCGGAAATAAAAATACTTGTTTATACACGGGAATATGAAAGCCGTGATAATTTACGCATTGCGATAGTGGACGCTTTTGATAAAGTGAAAAGTGATAGAGACACATTAAGAAAAAAAGACGTGTGGCACTAGGGGACTGCCGCGGTAAAGCTATTGCATAGCATTTTGTATCAACTTATGCAATTATAATTATTTATTTATTTTATTTATGCAGTATTTCTTTTTCTTTGATATTAATTCAAGTTACACTTTTTGAGCGTGGTGACCGATAAGAAAACATTTTTTTTTCTTTTATTAAATAAAAATATTGAAGCATATATTACAATTTTTTTTTAAATAAATACATAAAAAATATTATTATTAAATCAAATTACATATCCATGTAAGATTTTTCTGCATTATGTTGATGAAATTTCCTTTGACGTTCAGCATTTGATTTTGGTACTGTTTTTTGTTTTGTTTTTAGCGTGAGGTTTTTTTTCGTTACGGAATTTCTGGATTCGGTCCCCGCGCTCAAGGCCCTCGATAGAAGCTATGCAATAGCTTAAAATTAAAAAACAATTGCATTAAACGTGGACGTTTGTGTATTGAATGCAGCGGACTCCATTATGAGCAGATGCTTCGATACAGAGAAGTGTAAGTAGTGTAAATAGGTATGTAAGTTAATTATTCTGTAGATAGCTCCGATTTTTTAAATACTCTTGAAATATTTATACCTACAGTCCGTTGATAAATTGATTTGTTGTGAAAAGAACAATCGTGGTTAATAATCGAAAAGAAGTTTAAATAAAATAGGTATTTCCGACGATCCTAAGCCCGTGTAAAGTATGAAGGACAAATTGGAGTCTATCTACGTAAGTACACGCTAGCTCGCGCCTATAGGTATACTTTTATCAGCTGCTGTTAGCGTCAGCGGTGCGCAGCGGGACGTGTTTCATTCATATAAGATAATGAATGAATGATCAGTTCATTACTACTTTCCAAGTCGATCGAGTAAAAATGAATATTAAAACTGAAACTTTTTTTAAGACAACATTACAATTGATTTAATCATTTTTATTGGTACTATAGATGATTCCACATTAAAATGTTTCGTTTCCAAAATATATATATATATATATCTTTCGGTGTGTGTATGTATATGTACAATTTTTTTGCTTTTTTATTTCAATAGCGAATCAACTAAAGCATCGACTACTGAGGTACAAACTATACCACCAAGGAAAAGGAAAAAGACAAATGCACAAAGATGTAGAGAATATCGTGAGAGAAAGAAATTACAAAATACAATGGTACAAAACATAACTGCAGAGAGATCAGATGAATGTGGTGAGACTGATCAATTACCAGCCAGAAAACCTAAAACTGCTGCAGAAAGAAGAAAAAAACATTATGAAGCGCAGAAATTAAAGAAACAAAAAATTAAAAAAATACCTAAAACTGCTAAACAAAGAAATAAAGAATATTACTATAGGAAAAAGAAATTACAGGCTTTAAACACTTTAAATCATAATTCAGATGCGTAAGTATGATTTTTTTTGGAACGAATTTCCTTATCGCGCGCTGTGAAAGGGGGCTAGACGGAAAAAAATCTCACGAAAAGTTGTAACGACACTTTTTATTTTGAATTGTCACTTGTCAGTCATTCAGCGCCATCTATCGAATAGATAGGAAATCATTACTTTTCATCTCAGTAAAATTAAAATTTATGTTCTTAGGTTGAGCAAAAAATATTATATTCGACATCATTTCTCAAGGAGATTTTACCAATGTATAAATTGTTTTAATTAGAAACCAACTGAAAAATATGTAGGTAATAGCCGCTTTTATAGATGGCGTTGTAATTAAAATCGTGTCGAATCAGTTTTACTCGATCGTCACAACTTCGTTCCTATCGGGTGTCCCACGACACCACACGGCTTTTTTTTTCTAGTGTAGGTATGTGTGTACACGGTGATTTTATAGGCGTTTTGGAAACGAAACATTTTAATTTGGAATCATCTATAGTACCAATAAAAATGATTAAATCAATTGTAATGTTGTCTAAAAAAAAGTTTCAGTTTTAATATTCATTTTTACTCTATCGACTTGGAAAGTAGTAATGGACTGATCATTCATTCATTATCTTATATGAATGAAACACGTTCGTGGGCGTTTCGGTGGCCGCTGCGCACCGGTGACGCTAACAGCAGCTGATAAAAGTATACCTATAGGCGCGAGCTAGCGAGTACTTACGTAGATAGACTCCAATTTGTCCTTCATACTTTACACGGGCTTAGGACCGTCGGAAATACCTATTTTATTAAAACTTCTTTTCGATTATTAACCACGATTGTTCTTTTCACAACAAATCTATTTATCAACGGACTGTAGGTGTAAATATTTCAGGCGTATTTAAAAAATCGGAGCTATCTACAGAATAATTAACTTACATACCTATTTACACTATTTACACTTCTCTGTATCGAAGGAACTGCTCAAAATGGAGTCCGCTGCATTCAATACACAAACGTCCACGTTTAATGCAATTGTTTTTTAATTTTCTTAATGTGTCTCTATCACTTTTCACTTTATCAAAAGCGTCCACTATCGCAATGCGTAAATTATCACGGCTTTCATATTCCCGTGTATAAACAAGTATTTTTATTTCCGACCATAAGAAAAAATCCAGGGGCGTTAAGTCCGGGCTTCTAGGTGGCCAAGGCACTGGCACTCCTCGACCTATCCACCGATCACTAAACTCATTGTCCAGGGCCTCAATTCTACTATTTTAAGTTAACGCCAAGCCAGTGTCATTCCAGTGACACGCTATTGAGATGCCATTGAGATGCCATTGACATCGGTCAAAATATCAGTATTCTACTAACATAAATTCACAGTTTCAATAGACTGTCGTAATAGTAATATAGGTTATCAATGGTGATATCAACAACATTCAATTACCTGGCAAATTAAATATATAATTTTCTTACAAATTTAAATATACCGTTTACCAAACTATTACAAAGACATCGACGACATTTGTATCAGTGGCAGTTCAGTGACGTCATCAGGAGGTCATTGGTCTTACATAGTTAGTAGAATACGATAAGTGCAATACTATTCCGACGACATTCCCTCGACAGTCTATTGATACAATATTAGAATAGCAGAATTATGGCCCAGGTATGCACGCACTACACTCCGGATAATAATAATTTAAACGTCCTTGACCTTGCGCGTGAGTAGGCGCACGAAATTGTCCGTGGTCGAGAAGACGTTGGGTTGCAGCCAAGATGGTAGGTGTGGAGGGAATGTGAGGCCTTTCAATTCAACGTAGCCGTAGTGCATTTAAATGCTCCGGCTCGGAATACAAACGCTGAGCCTCTTCCAAGTTGTAGTTGGCAGTAGCGTACAGCTGTACCATTGCCAAGAAGTATTCCACGTTTGAAAATTCGTACTGTCGACTCATTTTAGCGCTAATCAATGTAGCGTGCCGTCACGATGTTATGGTATAACTGACCGACTGAAAGCGAAGGACGCCTCACGATTACAGGTGAGTCCCGCGTGTGCGTTACCCCAGCAAAATAATGTCGAAAATGGTCATTTAAACGTTATAGATAATTAGTTGCTCCCCTTCTGTAATTGTTAAGCACATTTTTAAATTTGTTTCTCTTAAACTTTTTTAGTTATTTCAAAAAAACATTTCCTGCTGGGGTAACGTTTGAAACGTTACCGCAGCCAGACATTTTCTTTTTTAATTGTAATATTGAAATAAATTTTAGCTAAATAATTAGTTATCTGGACTAGGTAAATGTTACAATTTATTTGGTATTTGTATTTTCTTCGGCTGCGAAGTTATTCGAGATCCTGCTGGAGTAACGTTTGTGGGTTTGCTGGATCTCTGAAACGGGTAAGCGGATTGTAACCATCTTTTGTACATAACTTCTTAAGGATTAGTTTTAATTTGTTCGACAGTAAAATAACAAAAATAATGGACCGTTTAAAAATTATTTAGGTAAGTATGAAAACACTTCAATACGTCCTAACACTTTGAATAAGATCTCTAAAGACTTACTTCAAACGTTATTCTATTGCTTGTAACTACCTTCAAATGTATACGAATTTTCGTAAGAATACTGTAAGTGACTAAAAAGTTATGATGAAATGTAGCTCTCCACGTTCACGATCACAATGTGTGCGGCCTTTTTTGGCCACCGATAAACCTGTGTGTGGATATATAAACTGAATGTTATGCCAACAATTAGTTGTTTAGTTCAGTTGTCTACCTGTAAAATTTCGGCATCGTACATATAATAATTTACGAGATAGTTAAATAAAAGTCATTAGAAGGTGCAAGTCCGTGGTAACCCGACCATGTTTAGGTGGTTACAAAAAAGCGATCACCTAGTACATTGCGCTGTCTTTTAAAATGTTTAGTGTAATACACCTTACGATTTCGGTACAGTTGCGTACAGTGTTAAATACATTCAATATTTATTCATTATTATTACCTATTATTTATTTTGTTCTTTTTTCCTAATTGATCTTAAGCACTAGTTTCTTTACTTAAAATTTCTTTAGTCTGTTTAACTACCGGAGATACAATCAACAGAAAATCTGCACTGGCCCGCTAAAATTATAAATATGTAGATACATGTATGAACGATTCACCTGACTGCAATAAATCGAAAATTTAAACCATTAAGAAATCGTTTCATTTCTTTGATTTTTTTTGTAAAGAAATAACACTGAAGTAATTGTATTTTATTTTGAGGTATATATAGCTTAGACTTGAATGCATCAAAATATTTAAAGAAACAAGTCATCTACAATTAGTTAAAATAGACCATAATAGTAGAAGAATACAGTTGTAAATTAGAATGCATCAACATTGCATCGCCCAACAGTCGTATACCTCGTAAGAGTCGGTAATATTGTTCTGTGGTCTATACCGAGAACCGAGAATTATCTATACCTATGTACCTACCTGTGACTGTTGATTTCTGTTAAAAACGAACAGTTGTTGAATGATATTTTGATATAATAACGGTAATTTAATTTATCGAGTGAAAGTGATACATTTTTATAGATAAAATTATTGGTCAGATAATATTTGTCAATCAAGAATCGCCGATAATACATCCTTAGCTAGAACGCGGGAGGGGACGGGCGAAGGGATACTTCATTGTTTGCAATTTGCATCTAGTGCACTAAACTTGACCCTTAGGCAGATAATATACGTCTTGTAAAGTGCGTGTGCGCTTCCGCTTTCTATTTTTGCAAATATTTATCGTATTCTTGGGAGTTCTTCAATATGTGTGTACCTAATTACTAGTAATGGGAATTAATGCTAATTAGATTCAATTTAAGTCATTGCGAATTCTTGTCTTAGGATGTTCGGGGTGAACAAATTAAAAACGATCATAACTTGTAGGTATATCACTATTACTAATTTTACATAAATAATTTATTTTATTATAATTTAACTCACCGCGATTTTGTGATCAAATATTTTATTTTCTCCAACATTATTACAGAAATAATGCACTGCAGAGTTTATTCGCGATATGCCAGCCTAAGTCGATTTATCACTTTGAAAAAATCCCAATCTATTTACAAAATACCTATTTACAACGCATACGTTACACTCTTCAAAACTTAAATTACCAATACCTACCCTAAAATTAAACTTCAATTAACAAATACTACACAGGTACCAATTCTATGAACAACTATAAACAATTCACCTAAACATTACGAGAAAACAAAAGCATTCAAAACAATACCTAATCTCCCGGCTGATTACTAATTATGCAATAAACAATCCTAAATAAAAATTATTTAAAAACATGTCGTTTTTTGTAACACTTATGTACATATCCGTAGTAAACTTGCAAATAATATCCTACATATTTTAAAAGCCAGCACAATGTACTGGGTGATCGCTTTTATGTAACCACCTAAACATGGTCGGGTTACCACGGTCTTGCACCTTCTAATGACTTTTATTTAATTATCTCGTAAATTATTATATGTACGACGCTGAAATTTTACAGGTAGACAACTGAACTAAACAACTAATTGTTGGCATAACATTCAGTTTATATATCCACACACAGGTTTATCGGTGGCCAAAAAAGGCCGCACACATTGTGATCGTGATCGTGGAGAGCTACATTTCATCATAACTTTTTAGTCACTTACAGTATTCTTACGAAAATTCGTATACATTTGAAGGTAGTTACAAGCAATAGAATAACGTTTGAAGTAAGTCTTTAGAGGTCTTATTCAAAGTGTTAGGACGTATTGAAGTGTTTTCATACTTACCTAAATAATTTTTAAACGGTCCATTATTTTTGTTATTTTACTGTCGAACAAATTAAAACTAATCCTTAAGAAGTTATGTAACGTTTAACGTTTAACGGGTAACGTTTCAAACGTTACCCCAGCAGGAAATGTTTTTTTGAAATAACTAAAAAAGTTTAAGAGAAACAAATTTAAAAATGTGCTTAACAATTACAGAAGGGGAGCAACTAATTATCTATAACGTTTAAATGACCATTTTCGACATTATTTTGCTGGGGTAACGCACACGAGTCCCGCGCATGCGCCTACGGGGCAGACGTCATTGGTTGGACGACTCCGGCGCAACTTGGTAGCTTTGTTTTTATTGGCGAATACGATTTTATGTGACTCGATATTAAAATGCATAGTATTTCTATTCGTAGTATTTACCTACGTGTGATTGAATAGCCCTACTACTGGTTCTCACTTTTTCTCTGTAAACGATATGAATATCGACTTTGATGATAAAAAATATTTATACTTTCAAAACGCTTTCAAAATCACCGTGTATATTTCTTTGGCATCTATAAATTTTTACAAGTCGGAGTTTTATTGTCATAAATTACGGTCAAATGTTCGAACTCTGGGTGTGCACTATTCCGCTGGTTCAAATAAATTATACCAGCAACTTCCCAAGAGCAAGGCCACACGATGCGGGTACGGTGTGGTGCGTCCCTGCACCGAAATGAATTCGAATGATAGGTTGCCACACGGGTGGTGCGGTACCGCAGTGCATCGCTGTTTATCACGGTTAACGAATCAGTGTGTACAGGGTTTAGTCTGAATGACTATGGAGCGAAAAAAAACGCGTTTTATTGCTACTTACTATTACACTGCACAACAAAATTGCAACTTTTGTCTGATGATTGACTTTTATCACATGATGTTTACTAATTTGACGTCGCTGATTCTAGATATACCCTCGTTTTGTTTGTAACAGCTCTTGTTCACAAGTTATAGCTTTCACAATAAATTCGACGTATGACCCTGTTAATTTGCTGATAATAATATTATTTATTTTGTTTTTTTTAATATAATTTATTATGGCGTCGTCAAGACGAGTTTGTGTAATTGATCCGAATCATTTTTGTTTCATTTGCGAAGAGTATATGTTTAAAGAATACCGTTTGAATGTGACTACGTTCGTAAATGAGGCTTACAAAAATTACTTAGGTCACCCGCTGGAAATGAAAAACAAGCCTTGGATTCCGCAAAATGTATGCAAAACGTGTGTTGAGTTTCTACGCTTGTGGACAAATAAAAAAAGGAATAGATTTAGGTACGAAACGGCTATGATCTGGCAAGAACCCGTGAACAAAAAAAAAAACAACATTGGATTATAAAAGATTGGCCTCCTCGGGAAGCGCTGGTTCCAGGAGAACAAAACGTGATAATTTTGCCTCCGTTACATATAAAAATAAAAATAGGCCTTTAAAACAATTTGTAAAAGGTCTTGACAAAAATGGAAATTGTTACCTTTTCCTATCAAAAAAAGTTTCCAAAACTGAGTGCAGAAAAGATAAAACTGGGAATTTTTGACGGGCCACAAATAAGGTCATTAATAAAAGACTCAAATTTTATGAAAACTATGAAATAAAAAAAAGAAATAAAGAATAAATATTAAGAAAAAGGCTTGGAATGAGTTTTTTTGGCTGGAACAAATTTTTTTGGGAAATAAGAAACATTCGGACTTTTCTCAACAGTGAAAGAACTAATGAGTCACTTTCAAAAGCTCGGATGTAACATGAGCATCAAGTTACACTTTCTTCATAACCACTTAGACTGTTTTCCCGCCAATTCCAACAGGGCGAGCGATTCCACCAGGACCTTCGTACGATGGAGGAACGCTATCAAGGCCACTGGAACACTCACATGATGGCTGATTATTGTTGGAGCATTCAGCATAGATCTCTGCCTTCAGCTTCAGCAAGAAAAATCGAATAAAAGAAAGTTTTTTTCACTCAATATTAAATAAATTGAAATCATCCCCAAATATAAAGTGTTCTATTATAAAAAAAAACATGTGTCATATTTTTTTAACTAGAGATAACTGATACAGAAATTTCAATCACAGATTTGAAATCGTCATTGAAAATTGGACTTATATAACATAACCCAATCATCAGAAATGCTGTTGCGCAGTGTTATTATCAGTACTCATCGTATGAAAGAAAAATATTAAATAATTGTAGCACATAATTATTCACATTCGACACACTAACAATACTGGGGTGGCGGCACGTGGCTCCTTGCCCGGTGCGCTAGCGGTGCGACGCCGCGCCGCGCCGGTGCCCATCGCGTCGTGTGACATGGTATAGGTAGTTATTTGTATTCAAGATAACGTAGCGGCAACGCTCCGGCGCCGTACCGCACCGTCAACGCATCGTGTGGCTTAGCTCTAATGCGTTATAAATGACATATTCCAAAAAAAAACATAATGTAAATATAGTGTCACTATAAAAATATACATCTAACGATAATGGCAATAATTTTAGTTAATATAAAACCTATGTTTTAATTTCTTCTAAAGGCAAGTCCTTTTTAAAGAAATGGAACATTTTTATCCACGACGTTTTAATTTAGCATATGGGGATAAAGAAGTATTTTAAATGCTAGTTGCTAGGAGCTTTAGGAACGTGAAAAGTTGCGAAGTTAGAGCCCCCTAGATGACAAACATGTAATTACTTTCAGTACCATCGACATAGAGGAACATCCAATAGAAACCTTGAAAGTGGAAATGGACGAAAATGAGGAATACAACAGAGAAGCCAGCCACGGAATTTCGTTTCAAACACAACCTCTATCAACACAGTGAGTAATGTTTGTAACTACAAGAAAATGTAAATACAAGAAGCCGTACAGTAGTAGCTGCGAAACATCTGTCATCGCTCATATCAACTCCAGCACCGCGCTCTCATTGGTCAAATCAAAAAGCGCGCGTTTTCTTGGCTTCCTGTTCACATTCCCGTTTCTTTTTACGAAACGCTCCCACAGGTGGCAGAAAAGGCCGATGAAATATGTAAAATATAAAAAAAAAACACTCTTTAGCAGCAAAGTAAATAAAAACGTATGAAATTATATTAAAATGGAGTATGCTCTGTTTTTACAAACTGTAATTTACCGAGTTTATAAGATACTAGCTAACCCGCGCAATTTCGCCTGTATCTCTCTAAAAAAAAAAAAAATTGCCCTGTTTTTGCAACATTTTTAACTACACGAAAATGTTTTTTCTCTTCCAACATGTACTCGTAGTGCCTGAGTTAAGCGCGTTAAACGAAACAAACGATCTCTTCAGCTTATGATATTATTATATACTCGTATACCAAACTACGCAGGACAACAGCACTGCAAAGAGAAGGAAAAACTTGACACAAACCTTATACCAACCCGTCTGGCCAGCGTGGTATAGCAGGCTAAAACCTCCTTTCTAAGGAGAGGCCTATGTCCAGCAGTGGACTATTAAAGGCTGTTGATGTGATGTGATGATGTGATACTAAACTGTGTATAACCTTGCAGGCAGGTGTCTTCAATTCATCAGTCATTACCACCAACGGCTCCAACACATACCGAGGTCAAGCAAGAGCCTGTAGATGAGGAAGATCATGAGTGAGTATACTGACCATACTTTAGAACGACTTGTTTAGGACTCAGGTTCAACTCAGACTGAATGTAAGTTAAGCGAAAATCTTTTAAATGTTTATAAACTATTAGCCTTATTGTATTAAAATTAGAGTTTTAATTTCTAGTCTAGCGGACTGTTGTGTGTCTTATAAAATACGCGACCGCGCGGACATGTACGAACCACGTGTTCGTTCTTCGCTAATAACACGATCACTGAGAAATATTTTTTTCACGCAGTCGGGCTTTTTTCCAATATCCCCTCGTGAAATGTATCTCTCAGACAATTGGATGCTGGTGATGCTGTAAAGGACACAAATAGTTTTGATGTTCCAAAATGCGAGTGAGGGACGTAGATCACGTTTGGAATAGTATTTATGACGTCACACTCCACTATTGTCAACTTTCATATTTCGTTTTACCATTAAAGAGCCGAAGAGATAAATTCAATAGTTTCTTTTTCCCTCTTATCTCTCTTATCTCATAAAGTCTCTTAAATTATTTAACTATAAAAGATAGGTATAGGTTCAGAGATTATGTAAAAAAACGAAGAAACGAAAAACTCTACTTCACAACGTAGATTGTTAAACCAAACTTAAAGCAAATGATTTTACAATAAGTGTGACGTCATAACACATTATTTTCATGGGCCGGCTCGACCGGAGTTTACGCCAGCCTCACAGAAAACCGGTGTTAAATAATTCTCTCGCCACTCTTCACCGAGTGAGTGAAGTTGTAGCAGACCCCAACAAACACACAAAGGATGCACCGCACTTGTAGTTGCTTACCATCAAGCGATCCTTTTATTCTTATGCTATTATACACGGTGATTTTATAGGCGTTTTGGAAACGAAACATTTTAATTTGGAATTATCTATAGTACCAATAGAAATGATTAAATCAATTGTAATGTTGTCTAAAAAAAAGTTTCAGTTTTAATATTCATTTTTACTCGATTGACTTGGAAAGTAGTAATGGACTGATCATTCATTCATTATCTTATATGAATGAAACACGTCCGTGGGCGTTTCGGCGGCCGCTGCGCACCGGTGACGCTAACAGCAGCTGATAAAAGTATACCTATAGGCGCGAGCTAGCGAGTACTTACGTAGATAGACTCCAATTTGTCCTTCATACTTTACACGGGCTTAGGATCGTCGGAAATACCTATTTCATTTAAACTTCTTTTCGATTATTAACCACGATTGTTCTTTTCACAACAAATCAATTTATCAACGGACTGTAGGTATAAATATTTCAAGCGTATTTAAAAAATCGGAGCTATCTACAGCATAATTAACTTACATACCTATTTACACTATTTACACTTCTCTGTATCGAAGCAACTGCTCAAAATGGAGTCCGCTGCATTCAATACACAAACGTCCACGTTTAATGCAATTGTTTTTTAATTTTCTTAATGTGTGTTTTTTGTTTTCTTAATGTCTATCACTTTTCACTTTATCAAAAGCGTCCACTATCGCAATGCGTAAATTATCACGGCTTTCATATTCCCGTGTATAAACAAGTATTTTTATTTCCGACCATAAGAAAAAATCCAGGGGCGTTAAGTCCGGGCTTCTAGGTGGCCAAGGCACTGGCCCTCCTCGACCTATCCACCGATCACTAAACTCATTGTCCAGGTATGCACGCACTACACTCCGGCGAATAATAATTTAAACGTCCTTGACCTTGCGCGTGAGTATAGTATTTCTATTCGTAGTATTTACCTACTTGCGATTGAAAAGCCCTACTACTGGTTCTCACCTTTTCTCTGTAATCGATATGAATATCGACTTTGATGATAAAAAATATATATATTTTATTAAATTAACGTTATATATGCTTCTGTTACTGATAAATAATTCAAAATTTTCTTTTCCAAAACGCTTTCAAAATCACCGTGTATATTTCTTTGGCATCTATAAAGTTTTACAAGTCGGAGTTTTATTGTCATGAATTACGGTCGAATGTTCGAACTCTGGGTGTGCACTATTCCGCTGGTTCAAATAAATTATACCAGCAACTTTCTAAGAGCAAGGCCACACGATGCGGGTACGGTGTGGTGCGTCCCTGCACCGAAATGAATTCGAATGATAGGGTGCCACACGGGTGGTGCGGTACCGCAGTGCATTTGCTGTTTATCAGGGTTAATGAATCAGTGTGTACAGGGTTTAGTCTGAATGACTATGGAGCGAAAAAAAACGCGTTTTATTGCTACTATTACACTGCACAACAAAATTGCAACTTTTGTCTGATGATTGACTTTTATCACATGATGTTTACTAATTTGACGTCGCTGATTCTAGATATACCCTCGTTTTGTTTGTAACAGCTCTTGTTCACAAGTTATAGCTTTCACAATAAATTCGACGTATGACCCTGTTAATTTGCTGATAATAATATTATTTATTTTGTTTTTTTAATATAATTTATTATGGCGTCGTCAAGACGAGTTTGTGTGAATGATCCGAATCATTTTTGTTTCATTTGCGAAGAGTATATGTTTAAAGAATACCGTTTGAATGTGACTACGTTCGTAAATGAGGCTTACAAAAATTACTTTGGTCACCCGCTGGAAATGAAAAACAAGCCTTGGATTCCGCAAAATGTATGCAAAACGTGTGTTGAGTTTCTACGTTTGTGGACAAATAAAAAAAGGAATAGATTTAGGTACGAAACGGCTATGATCTGGTAAGGACCCGTGAAAAAAAAAACAACATTGGATTAAAAAAGATTGGCCTCCTCGGGAAGCGCTGGTTCCAGGAGAACAAAACGTGATAATTTTGCCTCCGTTACATATAAAAATAAAAATAGGCCTTTAAAACAATTTGTAAAAGGTCTTGACAAAAATGGAAATTGTTACCTTTTCCTATCAAAAAAAGTTTCCAAAACTGAGTGCAGAAAAGATAAAACTGGGAATTTTTGACGGGCCACAAATAAGGTCATTAATAAAAGACTCAAATTTTATGAAAACTATGAAATAAAAAAAAGAAATAAAGAATAAATATTAAGAAAAAGGCTTGGAATGAGTTTTTTTGGCTGGAACAATTTTTTTTGGGAAATAAGAAACATTCGGACTTTTCTCAACAGTGAAAGAACTAATGAGTCACTTTCAAAAGCTCGGATGTAACATGAGCATCAAGTTACACTTTCTTCATAACCACTTAGACTGTTTTCCCGCCAATTCCAACAGGGCGAGCGATTCCACCAGGACCTTCGTACGATGGAGGAACGCTATCAAGGCCACTGGAACACTCACATGATGGCTGATTATTGTTGGAGCATTCAGAATAGATCTCTGCCTTCAGCTTCAGCAAGAAAATCGAATAAAAGAAAGTTATTTCCACTCAATATTAAATAAATTGAAATCATCCCCAAATATAAAGTGTTCTATTATAAAAAAAAAACATGTGTCATATTTTTTTAACTAGAGATAACTGATACAGAAATTTCAATCACAGATTTGAAATCGTCATTGAAAATTGGACTTATATAACATAACCCAATCATCAGAAATGCTGTTGCGCAGTGTTATTATCAGTACTCATCGTATGAAAGAAAAATATTAAATAATTGTAGCACATAATTATTCAGCACATTCGACACACTAACAATACTGGGGTGGCGGCACGTGGCTCCTTGCCCGGTGCGCTAGCGGTGCGACGCCGCGCCGCGCCGGTGCCCATCGCGTCGTGTGACATGGTATAGGTAGTTATTTGTATTCAAGATAACGTAGCGGCGACGCTCCGGCGCCGTACCGCACCGTCAACGCATCGTGTGGCTTAGCTCTAATGCGTTATAAATGACATATTCCAAAAAAAAACATTATGTAAATATAGTGTCACTATAAAAATATACATCTAACGATAATGGCAATAATTTTAGTTAATATAAAACCTATGTTTTAATTTCTTCTAAAGGCAAGTCCTTTTTAAAGAAATGGAACATTTTTATCCACGACGTTTTAATTTAGCATATGGGGATAAAGAAGTATTTTAAATGCTAGTTGCTAGGAGCTTTAGGAACGTGAAAAGTTGCGAAGTTAGAGCCCCCTAGATGACAAACATGTAATTACTTTCAGTACCATCGACATAGAGGAACATCCAATAGAAACCTTGAAAGTGGAAATGGACGAAAATGAGGAATACAACAGAGAAGCCAGCCACGGAATTTCGTTTCAAACACAACCTCTATCAACACAGTGAGTAATGTTTGTAACTACAAGAAAATGTAAATACAAGAAGCCGTACAGTAGTAGCTGCGAAACATCTGTCATCGCTCATATCAACTCCAGCACCGCGCTCTCATTGGTCAAATCAAAAAGCGCGCGTTTTCTTGGCTTCCTGTTCACATTCCCGTTTCTTTTTACGAAACGCTCCCACAGGTGGCAGAAAAGGCCGATGAAATATGTAAAATATAAAAAAAAAACACTCTTTAGCAGCAAAGTAAATAAAAACGTATGAAATTATATTAAAATGGAGTATGCTCAGTTTTTACAAACTGTAATTTACCGAGTTTCTAAGATACTAGCTAACCCGCGCAATTTCGCCTGTATCTCTCTAAAAAAAAAAAAAATTGCCCTGTTTTTGCAACATTTTTAACTACACGAAAATGTTTTTTCTCTTCCAACATGTACTCGTAGTGCCTGAGTTAAGCGCGTTAAACGAAACAAACGATCTCTTCAGCTTATGATATTATTATATACTCGTATACCAAACTACGCAGGACAACAGCACTGCAAAGAGAAGGAAAAACTTGACACAAACCTTATACCAACCCGTCTGGCCAGCGTGGTATAGCAGGCTAAAACCTCCTTTCTAAGGAGAGGCCTATGTCCAGCAGTGGACTATTAAAGGCTGTTGATGTGATGTGATGATGTGATACTAAACTGTGTATAACCTTGCAGGCAGGTGTCTTCAATTCATCAGTCATTACCACCAACGGCTCCAACAGATACCGAGGTCAAGCAAGAGCCTGTAGATGAGGAAGATCATGAGTGAGTATACTGACCATACTTTAGAACGACTTGAATACTGTTTAGGACTCAGGTTCAACTCAGACTGAATGTAAGTTAAGCGAAAATCTTTTAAATGTTTATAAACTATTAGCCTTATTGTATTAAAATTAGAGTTTTAATTTTTAGTCTAGCGGACTGTTGTGTGTCTTATAAAATACGCGACCGCGCAGACATGTACGAACCACGTGTTCGTTCTTCGCTAATAACACGATCACTGAGAAATATTTTTTTCACGCAGTCGGGCTTTTTTCCAATATCCCCTCGTGAAATGTATCTCTCAGACAATTGGATGCTGGTGATGCTGTAAAGGACACAAATAGTTTTGATGTTCCAAAATGCGAGTGAGGGACGTAGTTCACGTTTGGAATAGTATTTATGACGTCACACTCCACTATTGTCAACTTTCATATTTCGTTTTACCATTAAAGAGCCGAAGAGATAAATTCAATAGTTTCTTTTTCCCTCTTATCTCTCTTATCTCATGAAGTCTCTTAAATTATTTAACTATAAAAGAGAGGTATAGGTTCAGAGATTATGTAAAAAAACGAAGAAACGAAAAACTCTACTTCACAACGTAGCTTGTTAAACCAAACTTAAAGCAAATGATTTTACAATAAGTGTGACGTCATAACACATTATTTTCATGGGCCGACTCGACCGGAGTTTACGCCAGCCTCACAGAAAACCGGTGTTAAATAATTCTCTCGCCACTCTTCACCGAGTGAGTGAAGTTGTAGCAGACCCCAACAAACACACAAAGGATGCACCGCACTTGTAGTTGCTTACCATCAAGCGATCCTTTTATTCTTATGCTATTATACACGGTGATTTTATAGGCGTTTTGGAAACGAAACATTTTAATTTGGAATTATCTATAGTACCAATAGAAATGATTAAATCAATTGTAATGTTGTCTAAAAAAAGTTTCAGTTTTAATATTCATTTTTACTCGATCGATTTGGAAAGTAGTAATGGACTGATCATTCATTCATTATCTTATATGAATGAAACACGTCCGAGCGCGTTTCGGCGGCCGCTGCGCACCGGTGACGCTAACAGCAGCTGATAAAAGTATACCTCAGTGCCGGATTAAGACAGCGCGGGGCCTGTAGCAAATTCTACCAAGGGCCCCTTGGGTTGTTTTAGGTTATCTAGTTTATGATATTTATCATCATCCTCAACAGTCTATTGCTGGATATGGGCTTCTCCTTAGAAAGGAGATTTTTGTTTGCTATGCTGCGCTGGGCAGACGGGTTGTTTATACCAGTCTCAAATTTGAAACAAACCCTACTTGGGCTTGTTTTAAGTTTCAAGAAACAAACCCTATAGGTTTTGTGTCAATTTTGAGACGCCGGCCCATGTCATGTGGTGTTGAACAGGGCTCTGGTCTTGGGCCCTCCTGTGGAACATAGGGTACGACTAGGCCCTTCGAGGAGACTTCCCCTCCCCGGGCTGGGCGTAATCTGTTACGCCAACGACACTTTGGTTGTCTGTGGGTAGGAGGGGGACCTGGGGTGTCTCTTTGGTGGTTGTCTTAAAGGTGGTCCTGGATAAGACGGAGGCCTCTTATTTCTTGGGCCTAGTTGTAATCCACCCCTGGCGCCTCAATCTTGGTCATCTTGGTCAACGTACCGGTTCAGGTCCAGATGAAGGATATGGGCCTGATACCTGACGGGAGACGGCTCTTCGATGAGCACTCCCGACCGCTTACCCTAAAACTGGTCGGCACTGCGTCTGCTCTTAAGTGACTTTTGCCCAACCAGCATCGTTTCAAGACAGCTGTACACGGGGCTGTCCAGTCAATGGCAATGTACGGTGCCCCAGTGTGGACGGCAGTTCTGACCGCCCGGCATAGGGCGCGCATTCACTAAAATTATGTAAGTGCTATGATTATGGATGTATTATCTCAATGTCTATTGTGCAGTTTGTGTTGTATATTTATTATTGTGTCATTATTGATTTTTATTACCAAATGTTAAGATTTAATATTAATATTATTCTGGGTTTGAATATAAAAAGCATGTTTACTCAACCTAATACAAAAAAATGATTGCACGCCACTGTTAAAATAAGTCTGAGCTTATAAAACATATTTTATTATGGCGTCCTTAGAGGGTATTGGCAGTTAGAACCATGGTTATAGCACCGTGTCGACGCCTGGCAGGAACACTCTCGTGGGTTTTGGGAAGAAAGTGCTCAGTCCCCACCCGAAGAGGAGCGCGAGGGGCGTAAAGCCTCTCGCCGAGCCACGATGGCTCGTTGGTCGGTCCAGCCTGGAGGCTCCACGAGCTCGCTTTGCCGCCGTAGAGGCACTCCAACCGGTCGTTGAGTTGAGGCCAATCGTTGAGTGAGCAAAGCGTCCAGAGCAGAGCAGGTTCTTTCTGGGTACGGCTGATTCTGCAATCGTTCGATAGGAGGGAATTGAATCCCGCCTGTCATCACTCCGATTGCAGTGAGGACGCGGCTCAGCACACGCGGGCAATTTGCTTGGCTTGGGCGTCACACGCAGCGTTGGGTCGCAGTGCAAAACATAATTTTAGAAATGTACTAAAACTTTAAATTTTTTACTTAACACATCACACACATGGCTAACGGCATGGTGGCACGGCATGTTTCCTAACTAGGCAGAGCCTGTACTATTCTAACCAGACTGCTGATAAACATACTCATATATTTCTCAATATATACATATTATAGATAAATTACACCCAGACACAGAACAAATCATCGTGCTTATCACACAATTATTTGTCCTGGGTGGGAATCAAACCCACGACCTCTGGCTTAGCAGGCTCACTAACCCCTAAACCAGCAGGCCCGTCAAATTATAGTTTGACATTTAGATGCAACTCTTTCGTGATAAGAATTTTGGATTTATTGATTTAAAAAAATATTTTCACACTCCGATCGAAATACGAGTAAGTAGATACTTTTTTACGGTCAGAAAGAGCGGGGCCTCCAAATGCGCGGGGCCCGTAGCATTTGCTACTCTTGCTACGTGGCTAATCCTCTACTGGTATACCTATAGGCGCGAGCTAGCGAGTACTTACGTAGATAGACTCCAATTTGTCCTTCATACTTTACACGGGCTTAGGATCGTCGGAAATACCTATTTTATTTAAACTTCTTTTCGATTATTAACCACGATTGTTCTTTTCACAACAAATCAATTTATCAACGGACTGTAGGTATAAATATTTCAAGCGTATTTAAAAAATCGAAGCTATCTACAGAATAATTAACTTACATACCTATTTACACTATTTACACTTCTCTGTATCGAAGCAACTGCTCAAAATGGAGTCCGCTGCATTCAATACACAAACGTCCACGTTTAATGCAATTGTTTTTTAATTTTCTTAATGTGTGTTTTTTGTTTTCTTAATGTCTATCACTTTTCACTTTATCAAAAGCGTCCACTATCGCAATGCGTAAATTATCACGGCTTTCATATTCCCGTGTATAGACAAGTATTTTTATTTCCGACCATAAGAAAAAATCCAGGGGCGTTAAGTCCGGGCTTCTAGGTGGCCAAGGCACTGGCCCTCCTCGACCTATCCACCGATCACTAAACTCATTGTCCAGGTATGCACGCACTACACTCCGGCGAATAATAATTTAAACGTCCTTGACCTTGCGCGTGAGTATAGTATTTCTATTCGTAGTATTTACCTACTTGCGATTGAAAAGCCCTACTACTGGTTCTCACCTTTTCTCTGTAATCGATATGAATATCGACTTTGATGATAAAAAATATATATATTTTATTAAATTAACGTTATATATGCTTCTGTTACTGATAAATAATTCAAAATTTTCTTTTCCAAAACGCTTTCAAAATCACCGTGTATATTTCTTTTGCATCTATAAAGTTTTACAAGTCGGAGTTTTATTGTCATGAATTACGGTCGAATGTTCGAACTCTGGGTGTGCACTATTCCGCTGGTTCAAATAAATTATACCAGCAACTTTCCAAGAGCAAGGCCACACGATGCGGGTACGGTGTGGTGCGTCCCTGCGCCGAAATGAATTCGAATGATAGGGTGCCACACGGGTGGTGCGGCACCGCAGTGCATCGCTGTTTATCACGGTTAATGAATCAGTGTGTACAGAATTTAGTCTGAATGACTATGGAGCGAAAAAAAACGCGTTTTATTGCTACTATTACACTGCACAACGAAATTGCAACTTTTGTCTGATGATTGACTTTTATCACATGATGTTTACTAATTTGACGTCGCTGATTCTAGATATACCCTCGTTTTATTTGTAACAGCTCTTGTTCACAAGTTATAGTTTTCACAATAAATTCGACGTATGACCCTGTTAATTTGCTGATAATAATATTATTTATTTTGTTTTTTTAATATAATTTATTATGGCGTCGTCAAGACGAGTTTGTGTGAATGATCCGAATTATTTTAGTTTCATTTGCGAAGAGTATATGTTTAAAGAATACCGTTTGAATGTGAGTACGTTCGTAAATGGGGCTTACAAAAATTACTTTGGTCACCCGCTGGAAATGAAAAACAAGCCTTGGATTCCGCCAAATGTATGCAAAACGTGTGTTGAGTTTCTACGTTAGTGGACAAATAAAAAAAGGAATAGATTTATCAATAGATTTACGAAACGGCTATGATCTGGCAAGAACCCGTGGAAAAAAAAACAACATTGGATTAAAAAAGATTGGCCTCCTCGGGAAGCGCTGATTCCAGGAGAACAAAACGTGATAAACCCACCTTTAGTATCAAGGGATCGTATAATTTTGCCTCCGTTACATATAAAAATAGGCCTTATAAAACAATTTGTAAAAAGTCTTGACAAAAATGGAAATTGTTACCTTTTCCTATCAAAAAAGTTTACAAAACTGAGTGCAGAAAAGATAAAACCGGGAATTTTTGACGGGCCACAAATAATAAGGTCATTAATAAAAGACTAAAATTTTATGAAAACTATGACAAATATTAAGAAAAAGGCTTGGAATGAGTTTGTTTGGCTGGAACAAATTTTTTTTGGGAAGTAAGAAACATTCGGACTTTTCTCAACACGTGAAAGAACTAATGAGTCACTTTCAAAAGCTCGGATGTAACATGAGCATCAAGTTACACTTTCTTCACAACCACTTAGACTATTTTCCCGCCAATTCCAACAGGGCGAGCGATTCCACCAGGACCTTCGTACGATGGAGGAACGCTATCAAGGCCACTGGAACACTCGCATGATGGCTGATTATTGTTGGAGCATTCAGAATAGATCTCTGCCTTCAGCTTCAGCAAGAAAATCGAATAAAAGAAAGTTTTTTTTCCACTCAATATTAATTAAATTGAAATCATCTCCAAATATAAAGTGTTCTATTATAAAAAAAACATGTGTCATATTTTTTTAACTAGAGATAACTGATACAGAAATTTCAATCACAGATTTGAAATCGTCATTGAAAATTGGACTTATATCATATAACATAACCCAATCATCAGAAATGCTGTTGCGCAGTGTTATTATCAGTACTCATCGTATGAAAGAAAAATATTAAATAATTGTAGCACATAATTATTCACATTCGACACACTAACAATACTGGGGTGGCGGCACGTGGCTCCTTGCCCGGTGCGCTAGCGGTGCGACGCCGCGCCGCGCCGGTGCCCATCGCGTCGTGTGACATGGTATAGGTAGTTATTTGTATTCAAGATAACGTAGCGGCGACGCTCCGGCGCCGTACCGCACCGTCAACGCATCGTGTGGCTTAGCTCTAATGCGTTATAAATGACATATTCCAAAAAAAAACATAATGTGTAAATAGTGTCACTATAAAAATATACATCTAACGATAATGGCAATAATTTTAGTTAATATAAAACCTATGTTTTAATTTCTTCTAAAGGCAAGTCCTTTTGACGTGACAACGTCTTATAAATTGGTTTGCCGGGTGACACTTCAAGAAACTGCGTTACGCTCCGCTCACGTTATGCGCTCACAATGAGAGCGAGTGAGAGGCACGCGTCCCTTCCACTCGGGCATGGTTAGCCCGCCTAAGAGCGAGAGAGATAGACATAAAAAGTGAAAGGCACGCGTCCCTTCCACTCGAGCACAGTTAGCCCGCCTAAGAGCGAGAGAGACAGAGCGAGAGAGAGAGAGAGAGTGAGAGAGATAGGCATACACACCGGTTCATGTCTTGCGCTTCTATTTCGCTTAGGCGCCTGCATACAAGTTTACACGTTGCCAGTTAATTGTAAAACGATTGTGTAGTGATAATGTGAAGGTAGTTTCGTCCATCGCAACAATTCAAACAGCAAAGGTAAATAATTTCAGACTGATAATATAACATGATGAAATAAATGACTAAGACATAAGTGAATAGGTTATGTTGTAGTAATCACAATGTTGTGGTAGTTTTCAATCAAAAAAGTAGTATAAATCGTTTCTCAACCAATAATAATTTGTTTAACTTGAGAAAATGAGCGCGACTTGCTATGTAAAAAATTGAAATAACAATGTTTAACCTCCAACCTGTCAAATCGAAACTTTTAAACATTCAAACCGAGACGACTAATCACTGCGCAAGGTCGTAAGCGCGCGATTTACAAATTCAAAGATCAAATGTGAATTAGTTTTCTCCTTTTAGAAAATACACTTTGAATTAAAATCGATTGATATTAACAATTAATGTGATTTAAATAAATGTTCTAACTTTTAAATTTAGTTTTTATATTTATAACAATGTAAAACAAGTTAAATTTATTAATAACTTATAACAACTGATTGATTTAACATAAACCAATTTTGTGAATTCTCGAATTTGTTATTTATATTAATAACTGTTTCAACAAAGTTCAATTTATGCAAAAATTTGAAATAAAAAATGAATTTAACATACACAAATTTTGTGAAATTTCAAATTAATTATTTATATTAGTAACTTTTTAAAACTAAACCAACCAAATTGTGATCTTTTCTATGTTATAGAGAGTTTATCGTTATAAAGAATGATGTTATAAAGAGTTTACACTGTATTTGAAAACATTTAAAAATATGAGAAACAATAATTTCTAATTTGTTCAATTTTAGTACAATGGAGCCAGATGTACAAATTCCTTCAACGTCCAGTACACCGATGGAGACTGATGATATCGTGCCACCAACGTCTGCCATACCTTTCGCTGTGCCACACACACCCCATAACGCCAAAGCGCAACGACAAAGTATGTATAGAAAACGTAAGGCCGCGGAAAGAACTCCTGCAGAGGCAGCAGATTTTGCAAAAGCAGCCGCCGAAAGACAACGTAGATGCAAGCAACGTAGACTCGCCAACTCAGCTCTTGACACCGGCACACTAGAGTCAGCCACAGTGTCTGCTCCTGTGGTAGTGGAAAGAACAGTTACTGCCCAGACCAGCGCTCAGCGACAACGTGCTTACAGACAGCGTAGAGCTGCTCAAATTGTTTCACAAATAAGTACTCCACCGACTCACACAGCAGTGCAACCGGAACAATCAACCTGGAATATCAAATGGTCGTCGTCAATAAAGAGGTTTAAAACTACATTTCTGGACAACGAATTTGGCCACGCTTGCTCTGTTTGCGACCGATTATGGTTCAAGAATGACCTTAAAATCATCACTGCTGCACAACTACAGGTCATATCGGATTGGTTCGTTAAGGAAAATAGGCAACTACGCGAGGAGGATTATACGCATATTTGCAACACCTGTAGATTTTCGCTGAACAAACATAAGCTTCCTACCCTTGCAAAAGTGAATGGCTTCTCATATCCAGAAATACCTCCTGGCTTACCGCCACTGGATCCAATTAGTGAACGATTAATCTCACCACGTCTGCCATTCATGCAAGTGCGTCGTCTGCGGCATGACTTCTCTTATGGAATTATTGGTCAAGTGATCAACGTTCCAGTCAACGTAGAAGACATGGTAAAATGCTTGCCCCGGCATTTAGATGAGGACGACGTCATTAATGTCAACATCAAACGGAATCTCGCACACAAAACAAATTACATCAGTGGCTACATGTCCAAAAGGACAATCAAAGAATGGTTGGATGTACTTCAAAATTCAAGTCTATATCGCTTGTACGATATCAAAGTAGATTTGTCAAGGCTGCAAACTGTCGTGCCACCAGAGGAAGATTTGCAGGATGACTCGGCTCATCGAATCGAAACAATCGCCGCCGAGTGTACTCCGGAGTCAGAAATTCTTGCTTCCAGGCAGCATACACTACTGTGGAACGAAGAGGATTGCCTCGACATCGCACCAGGACATCGGGCCATGCCTCTGAACATCATTTACGACCGTCATGCTGAAGAACTATCATTTCCTGCAATATACTACGGCCAGCCTCGTCGCTTCCACATGGGAGTTTCAGTGACACCTTACATGATGGCAACCAGTGAATTACGACGAAGTGACAGACGCGGAGCCACGCCTCAAAAAGTCTTGTACGTTGCTATGAAGATTCTACGTCTCCGCATGGTGGATGGCATTTACAGCACATTTCGGAATGTGTCAACCACGGAAAACGTTACTCGACGCATGTTGGAGGACCCGGAATTTCTTAAAGAATTTGTCGTTCAAAATCTTGCCTTCATGAAGTGTCGCAAACGAGATCTGTTTGCGATGCTCCGTCAACTAGGTAAACCGACCATATTTCTCACTTTAAGTGCAAACGAAGTACGCTGGTTGATATTACTGAACTTACTCCTCAAATTGAGTAACAAGTATCCTGGAAAAGTTGCTGAAGATCTAAACACGTCAGAGCGGTGCAACTTAGTGAGCGACGATCCAGTTACGTGCTGCATATATTTCCACAAACTCGTCGGTACATTGATGAATATGCTGAAGGCAAAACAATCATATAATCCATTTGGCCAGTACTTTGTTAAAGATTATTTCTTTCGCATTGAGTTCCAGCATCGAGGAAGCCCCCACGCACACATTTTGGTGTGGTTGAATAATGATCCACACGAGGCCGTGTCAGAAAATATGCCAATGACCATCGAGCTCGTGGAGAAGCTGAGTTCTGTCGCCAAAGAAGATATGCCCAACGAGACCATCTACGCCAATCAAATTCACAAGCACACTTTCACCTGCACGAAGCGAGGTGAGACGACTTGCAGATTTGGGATCCCGTACTGGCCAATGCCTGCTACTCGAGTCTTGGTTCCAATGCCTCAGACTGATGGACGCCGGTCAACATTCCAAAAAAAATCCAAGGAGCTACGAACGTGTCTCAGCGAACGTACATACCCTAGCATGAATGACTTTTTGAGGGAACATGGTCTGACATTTGATGCATATCTTGATATAGTACGTTCAACCCTTCGCAGGCCAACTTTGTTGTTTAAACGTAACTTCGATCAACTTATGACAAACACGTTCAACCCTTACCTTGCTGGTCAAATTAATTCCAACATCGATATTCAGTTTATCTTAGATGAATACAGCTGCGCACAGTACGTCGTGGAATACGTGAACAAATCAGCTCGTGGAATGGGTAACTTGAATCGAGAGTTGACTAAAATGATGGAAGAACATCCTGACCGCGATTACACTGGTCAATTAAAAGCATTGAGTGTCAAACTTCTCAATGCAGTTGAAATGTCGGCGCAAGAAGCAGCATGGTATTTGTTACGACAGCCGATGAGCGAAGCAAGCCGTCAAATTGTGTACATACCAACAGTGTGGCCCTCAGAGAGACAACATTGCCGCAAACGTCGGAAACAATTGGATCGCGAAGGAATCGCAGAGGACAGCACAGACGTGTGGACCAAAAACATCATTCAGCGGTATGAAGAAAGACCTCCATCTTTGCAAGATGTATATTTGGCCGAGTTTGCGTCGTGGTATGCTAACTCTCGTGATTTCATTGACAATGAAGACGACTTGAACGTGCATGAAGATGACGATCCTGAACCGCCGACTGGAGAAAGAACGACATCGAGAGGATATCGCAAACGTCTGATCGGTCGAATCATACGATACAGATGCTACGACATAGATGAAACTGTCAATTATCAACGTGAGATGGTACTGCTGTACTTGCCCTTTCGCAACGAAGTCGCTGACATTGTTGATTGTAATAAATTTATACAATTATTCAATGACAACAAGGAAACTATCATGGAACGCAGAAAACTTTATGAGAACAATATTGACATCGACAAAGTGATGCAAGAGCTAGAAGCAATGATGATTTTGCAAAATTCAGACACCACAGAACCAACGGAAACAGAGTCAAGAAGAGTGTTTGTAGAACAGCTGTTAGGAGGAGAGGGAGCTGAAAATAACGATGATGTTAATGAAATCGTGCCGCAAAACGGATTGTCAGTTGTAAAAAAAATTGGTTGCCTGTAAAGTCGGTATACGGGCGAAAGTTTTACGTGACAACGACTTTGAGTGGTAAAATAATTTTAATGTGAATATTCATTCGTATAGTAGGAAGAAGGATGAAATAATAGTAACAATTTAAAACATTTATTTATACAAAGAATTATATTTAAAACATTAATTTATACAAAGAATCTCGCACTGAATTTCATATTAACAAAATTTTATGTCGCCTTTCACTTTTTATGTCTGTCTCTCTCGCTCTTAGGCGGGCTAACCATGCCCGAGTGGAAGGGACGCGTGCCTCTCACTCGCTCTCATTGTGAGCGCATAACGTGAGCGGAGCGTAACGCAGTTTCTTGAAGTGTCACCCGGCAAACCAATTTATAAGACGTTGTCACGTCAAAACGGAGCAACGTGATGCCAAAACAACAATATTGTGAGCTGCTACGAACTGCAAATGCTGAACAACGTGAGGTGGTCCTTGAGGCTATACATCGTTTACATGGCTGCGGAGATGAGCTCCTACAGGCTCTACAAATCTTTTTCACCGGACCAGCAGGATGTGGCAAAACGTATACATTGAAGGCCCTCATGGAAACGTACAATCGTTACACTCAGAACCACAACTCACTCAACAACGCCTACGTTGCTTGTGCAAGCACAGGTAAAGCAGCTGTACCTCTTGGTGGAACAACAGTTCACTCAGCATTTCGCCTAACAACTTCTCGAGTTACAAGACTTCTATCAGCTGAAAACTTGCAAGCCTATAGAAATATGTTCGTTGGCGTGAGAGCAGTTTTCATTGACGAGATCAGCATGTTGAGTGCAGCTATCCTCGGTAAAATCAATTATCGATTGCAACAGATAACCGGCATATACGACCAAGTTTTCGGAGGCCTTCACATCATCTTATGCGGCGATTTCAGACAGCTGCCGCCTGTACGCGCTACTTCGTGTTACACAGTGCCAATCAACCAACTCGGAGGACCTATACTGTGGCAAAGCATCGACTACTTCCCATTGGTCCGTGTTGTACGACAAACTGACGAGCTGTTTTCGAGAATTCTGACTAAAATTGGAGATGGACTTAAACTAAGTGTCAATAACATCAAATTTATAGAATCCAGACATAAGTCAGAGTCCTGGTGCAAAGAGAACGTACCTGACGCTGTTCGGTTGTTTTACAGTAACTTTGAGGTTGATTCATACAATCGAAAAGCAATTAACAACGCACACAACTGTATTGCCACTGATATCATGCTCGGATATTCCAGTAATTCTGAGAGGGGCCAACAGCAAGGAAAACTTCACAAGATGTCGGTTGCAGAGACAGACGGATTGCCTTACATGCTGCCCTTAGAAGTGGGATACCCTTACATGATAACGTCTAACATCAACGTAGGAGATGGATTGGTAAACGGCGCTATTGGAGTCTTGCGACACATCGAACGTCAGCCAGCCGATCCAGCCGAAGCAGGACCATCGACCAGCACGACGTCACCGCCCACAAAAGATGAAATTATCACTCTTTGGTTCGAGTTTCCAGACAAAAGTACGGGTGCCAGTGCAAAACTCAAAAGTCGACCACATGTACTCAGCAAACCAAACACTTTGTCCGTTGATTGGGTGCCGGTGTACAAAAAAGTGGTCAACATCACATTGACAAAAACAGTGAAATGCAAACGCAAACAATTTCCTTGCGTACCTGCTTGTGCCATTACGATTCACAAATCACAAGGTGGGACGTTTGATGTAATCGTGTATAAGTACTCCTCCAAGCAACCACAACAATTAGTATATGTAGCCATGAGCCGCGTAACGAGTATCAACGGATTGTATATCATCACGGAGAAGGACTCTCCTTTGATTTTCAAACATGGGCGCGAAGGAAACGACTCACAAACTACACGAGATATTCGCACTGAATATATTCGACTCCAAGGACACACTTTGCAAACCACCACTAAAAAGGCAGTCAAATTCTGTGACGATGCTACCAGTGCTGGACAAACTATCGTGACGAACATCAATTGTCAAAGTTTGAGTGCTCATGCCACAGACATTGAAACAGATACAGTGATTCCAAGATCTGACTATTTAGTACTGACCGAAACGTGGATGCGCGACACTTGTGAACCACATCCAATCAAGAATTATGAGTGCATATCAAGGAAGAATAATCGAACAAAGTCAGACACCAACGCAGCAGGTGGAGTAGCGATCTATCGTAGGTTATCATCAATATCAACAGGAAAAGTGATCGATGCGGTCACAGACACTGCTCGAGTTATCAAAACCTGCGGTGACTTGTGCTTGGCTGAAGTTACTTGCTTTACCGCTGATACTACCTTCAAATTTGTGCTCGGTGCTGTTTATATTCATCCAGGATTAAGTGTACAAGACATCGGAATGTTGCTACACCAGGCACTTCTTCCATACGTGCATAACAGCCAGTACGTGCCACCGTTCCTGCAAGTTGATCCTAATATGCCGATTCTTCTATGCGGTGACTTCAACCAAAACGTGAAGTCTGATGACAAGTTTCTCAAATTCATTAAAGATACGTTTAATCTTGATTGCGTATCAGATATGTCTAAGTCTACTACGTTAAAAGGAACAACCATTGACTTGACATTTTCTAGGCACATTACAGCAGAAACACTTCCTTTCATTTCATATTTCTCCTATCATCGCCCTGTCCTCAACAAAATCACTCAGATAGGAACAAGTTAAGTTGTAGTAAACGCTGTTTCATTGTACGCAAATGTATTGCAAGTTATTGTATGTATATTTGTATATAAATACGTATGTATGTGTAAAGGTAAAAATAAAATTTTGTTAATATGAAATTCAGTGCGAGATTCTTTGTATAAATTAATGTTTTAAATATAATTCTTTGTATAAATAAATGTTTTAAATTGTTACTATTATTTCATCCTTCTTCCTACTATACGAATGAATATTCACATTAAAATTATTTTACCACTCAAAGTCGTTGTCACGTAAAACTTTCGCCCGTATACCGACTTTACAGGCAACCAATTTTTTACAGAAATGGAACATTTTTATCCACGACGTTTTAATTTAGCATATGGGGATAAAGAAGTATTTTAAATGCTAGGTGCTAGGAGCTTTAGGAACGTGAAAAGTTGCGAAGTTAGAGCCCCCTAGATGACAAACATGTAATTACTTTCAGTACCATCGACATAGAGGAACATCCAATAGAAACCTTGAAAGTGGAAATGGACGAAAATGAGGAATACAACAGAGAAGCCAGCCACGGAATTTCGTTTCAAACACAACCTCTATCAACACAGTGAGTAATGTTTGTAACTACAAGAAAATGTAAATACAAGAAGCCGTACAGTAGTAGCTGCGAAACATCTGTCATCGCTCATATCAACTCCAGCACCGCGCTCTCATTGGTCAAATCAAAAAGCGCGCGTTTTCTTGGTTTCCTGTTCACATTGCCGTTTCTTTTTACGAAACGCTCCCACAGGTGGCAGAAAAGGCCGATGAAATATGTAAAATATAAATAAAAACACTCTTTAGCAGCAAAGTAAATAAAAACGTATGAAATTATATTAAAATTGAGTATGCTCAGTTTTTACAAACTGTAATTTACTGAGTTTATAAGATACTAGCTAACCCGCGCAATTTCGCCTGTCTCCCTAAAAAAATATTTGCCCTGTTTTTGCAACATTTTTAACTACACGAAAATGTTTTTTCTCTTCCAACATATACTCGTAGTGCCTGAGTTAAGCGCGTTAAACGAAACAAACGATCTCTTCAGCTTATGATATTATTATATACTCGTATACCAAACTACGCAGGACAACAGCACTGCAAAGAGAAGAAAAAACTTGTCACAAACCCTATACCAACCCGTCTGGCCAGCGTGGTATAGTAGGCTAAAACCTCCTTTCTAAGGAGAGGCCTATGTCCAGCAGTGGACTATTAAAGGCTATTGATGTGATGTGATACTAAACTGTGTATAACCTTGCAGGCAGGTGTCTTCAATTCATCAGTCATTACCACCAACGGCTCCAACACATACCGAGGTCAAGCAAGAGCCTGTAGATGAGGAAGATCATGAGTGAGTATACTGACCATACTTTAGAACGACTTGAATACTGTTTAGGACTCAGGTTCAACTCAGACTTAATGTAAGTTAAGTAAATATCTTTTAAATGTTTATAAACTATTAGCCTTATTGTATTAAAATTAGAGTTTTAATTTCTAGTCTAGCGGACTGTTGTGTGTCTTATAAAATACGCGACCGCGCGGACATGTACGAACCACGTGTTCGTTCTTCGCTAATAACACGATCACTGAGAAATATTTTTTTCACGCAGTCGGGCTTTTTTCCAATATCCCCTCGTGAAATGTATCTCTCAGACAATTGGATGCTGGTGATGCTGTAAAGGACACAAATAGTTTTGATGTTCCAAAATGCGAGTGAGGGACGTAGTTCACGTTTGGAATAGTATTTATGACGTCACACTCCACTATTGTCAACTTTCATATTTCGTTTTACCTTTAAAGAGCCGAAGAGATAAATTCAATAGTTTCTTTTTCCCTCTTATCTCTCTTATCTCATGAAGTCTCTTAAATTATTTAACTATAAAAGAGAGGTATAGGTTCAGAGATTATGTAAAAAAACGAAGAAACGAAAAACTCTACTTCACAACGTAGATTGTTAAACCAAACTTAAAGCAAATGATTTTACAATAAGTGTGACGTCATAACACATTATTTTCATGGGCCGGCTCGACCGGAGTTTACGCCAACCTCACAGAAAACCGGTGTTAAATAATTCTCTCGCCACTCTTAACCGAGTGAGTGAAGTTGTAGCAGACCTCAACAAACTGAACTTGATATCTCAATGGGGTGAACGTAATCGCTTAATTTTTGCACCCAACAAAACCTTCCAGCTACTTTTAAAAGGTAACCTCAAATCACCGCCGAGCATTAGATTTGACAATGTTACTGTAAAAAATAAAACCACAGTGTGTTATCTAGGATTAGTTTTAGAAATAAACTTTTCATTTATCGAACATATTAAAATAGTTAATGCAAGGTCTAAAAAGAGTTTCTGTGCATTGACAAGGATATCAACTGCGAGATGGGGTCTATCATTTAATACATTAAAGATCATATACGGAGCTACTTATTTAGGTTCTATGTGCTATGGTGCACCTTATGGGCCGATAGGGCGACCGTAGGCGCTGTGCGTTGCAAACTGTTACAAGGCCAACGACTTGCACTGATATTTTTGTGCAAGGCATATAGGACGGTTAGCACTGAGGCTTTGCCGGTGTTGGCGGGTGTTCTTCCGGTCGATCTCGAGATGCAGAGACGTGCAGCCATGTACTATTCAATACAAAACATGGAATGCGATGCGCGCGGGATCGCGGTAAAATTACAAGATTGCTTCAACAGCAGTCCGATGTCTATAATGACCTCATAGACGAATGGCAGCAACGCTGGGACGAATCATCCAAGGGGCGCCATCTTTACCAATTTTTTCCATCAGTTCGCGAACGGTTGTCGAGGACATGGCTTGAGGTGGATCACTGTGTCGCTCAATTTCTTACGGGTCATGGTAACTTTAAGAGCAAGTTGCATTCATTTAAGTTAGTCGAGTCACCATTGTGTCAATGCTCAACACCTAACTCTCAATATGAACAATCTGCTCATCATATCCTCTGGGAATGTAGTCTTTGGTATAATGAACGTATATAATGCTGAATAGCTTGCAGGTGACATCTGGGGCGGTATACTATGGGGATCTTGTGTCAACTAGGGTGAATTGCCGTGCGTTTAGGCGATTCTGCCATACATATTATAGAAATCAAATATAGCTCATGTAGGACCCGTAATATTTTGTGGCCGTGGTGCTTCCCTGTTTAAAAGGGTGTATGCCTATTTTACTTCATTTTATCTCCCGCTTTGCTAAGGAGGGAAGTGGATTTACTGTATTTCCAACTCCTCCAATTTTCTTCTTTTCGATTAATTTCGTTGCGGGTTCCAAGACAGTTTAATTTCTTCCTGGGACTTCCCGAGTGTCATAACTCGGTGTGTTTGTGGGTCACTGCTGTGGATCCTGGTGTACAGGAGTTACAGTGGTGGGCGTGTGGGTGGGATTAGTCCCAAAAAAAAATAGACCTCAACAAACACAAAGGATGCACCGCACTTGTAGTTGCTTACCATCAAGCGATCCTTTTATTCTTACGTATTATATACTAGCTGGTACCCGCGACTTCGTTCGCTTGGAATTTGAAAAGTCAAACCTACATTTTATGTTTCTCTTAGGGCAAGTACATTTTGACAGAAATGGAGCACTTTTATCCGCGATGTTTTAATTTAGTATGTTGGATGTGTGGATATATTTAAAAGTAATGCGAATTTAGAGCCCTCTAGATGACAAACATGTAATTACTTTCAGTACCATCGACATAGAGGAACATCCAATAGAAACCTTGAAAGTGGAAATGGACGAAAATGAGGAATACAACAGAGAAGCCAGCCACGGAATTTCGTTTCAAACACAACCTCTATCAACACAGTGAGTAATGTTTTTAACTAGATTCGTTCGCGTGGAATTTGAAAAGCATTGCCTTAGTGGGTTCGATTGCCGGACTGGGCAAAATTTTATGGGGTTTTTCTGAGAGAAAAAATAGCCTAAGTTACTCTTTTTATAGACAGCTACCTGGTAGTAAAATATTATCAAAATCAGTCCAGTCGTTTTGAAGATTACCCGGAACAAACAGATATTCAGACAGAAAGACAAAAATTTTAAACTTGTTTTAAAGCATAGGTATCGTGCAAATAACCGTGTGAGCATGAAAAAACCACTTCAATTTTATTTATTTTGAATAGAGCATAGAACAGAAGTTCCCAGTTGTTTTTTCTCATAGACCACTTTCAAAATTTTGCTGGATCTGGTGGACCTGCAGCTACATTTTTACCATATTCTCAAAACTCGACAAAAAATGTGAAGATTAAATCTCACTGTGGAAATTTGTGTTGCGGCTGAGTTCCAACCACGATTTAATAGTTTTCGAAAAAAAAAACTGACGTGAAAGTCTAAATATCCGGCGGCACAATTTGTGCACTCGACCGAGTGTGGTGCGGTTTTTTAAATTTCGCTAAAAGTGATGAGATATTGTAAGATGCCCGCAAACCATCATCGTTAAGTAACGATGATGGTTTGCGGGCTAAAAGTTTAGATGTTAAAGCGAACATACTGTGCACGGTGGGGCTCTTTCCATATTTCAATGCTTAAAAATATTTCAAATCTTTATCTATTTTATCAGGATGACACCTTAGATGATCTCCGAGCTTCGATAGTTTCATAAAGTCATTTCATAAACTTGGTTGCCGGGCCTAGCCGGTCTAGTGGTTAGTTACCCTGACTAAAGCTGGAGGTTGTGGGTTCGATTCCCACTCAGAATATGGAATACGCAAGTTTTTACAAGGAATAGTCGCTTAGCTTCTTAAAATATTATCTGCCTACATTGACAGGTGAAGTCAAGCCAACATTTTAGTTCTTACCTATCGAAAGCAGATAAATATTCGTAGATATAGAAGGCTATAGAAGATAGATTAAACAAAAAGTGTGTGCGTCAGCTCTGACTGGAGTTTACTCCTTAACCTCCGACGCGTCGTCGTGACAACAGTTGTAACACCAAATTTTTACGCGGTAGCGTCTCTGTCACAACATTTAGAAGAATATATATCAGGGATTCCAAATATGTTTATTTCATTAAATATAATTATAAAATAACGTAGATATTGAGGTAATAATGACTTCGCTCAGCTGTGACTGGGTCACTAGTTCAAGGGCGCGACAGTAACGGGTCATAGGTCATCCGCGCGCCGCGACGTCCTAAGAGTTAAGAATGATTCAGCTACACACGATTATAGAAGTTACTACACACGTTACTAAAAAGTGTAAGGGTGCTCTAAATTGTACTATTCCTATTTTTTTCATAACGCGCTCTTTATATGAGAATTGATTCTGAAAGAGTAAATTCCAAAAATGTTTCATTTCGACGTTCAATAGAGGAAACTGATTTGACAGAAATAGTATGTTTATGTTACAGATTTGTGGAGTGTGGGGAGGCCGAGTCGGTGTCAAACTCGTGACGCCCCTTTCGATGCAGCATCCAACTTTACCTCTACCTCGTCGGCACCAGCGAGATGACGAGTCTTATCAATTATGGTAAATTAATTAAAATAATTGCGGTAATTTACTGATTTTATTTAGAAGCACAGGGCAAGGTGAAAGACAGATTCTCGCCTGATGTTAATTCCAATCATCGTTTGCCTAAGGAACGATGAAGACTCACATGAGAGTGACCGCGAGGAGGAGCAAATTGTGGTTCCAGATATTTCAAGGGTATTTCGAAGCATGATGGAAACACCCTTAGACATTGATGCTGTCGATGATAATGCTGTCGGAGACCCAGCACCCGCCGCTGACATAGCGTTTGACGTCCCACTGACGTTTAAAAATTCGTGTTCTTTTTTTATTTGAATACGATTTTATTTTTAACATTTAGTCATTTTCAAGATCTGAAAAATTCAGAATTTGTATCAAACAAATGCATCAGAATTTACTAAGTCATTCAATGTTTGACGGGATCTTATGTGCGCTTATGTTGTGCTTGATTTATTGTTAAATTTCTAATAAACTAAACATTTCTAACAGTCGAAGCTCTGTAAGTGGTAATAATTTAGACCATATAATTAGTATAAGTGATGACCTTATCTATTTAACCAACAATGTTCTCAGAATCGAAGTAAAAACTGACCCTTTTTATTGTCTTGACGCTCGGGTCGTGAAATCAGTTAGGATTTGTAAAGCTCGTGGGATGAAAAAAATGTATGTATGTGTGTTTTATTTTATGGAATGATGAGGACTAAGATGTGTTGTATAAAGTGAAATATATATTTTTGAAGGAATAGTTATTTTTTAATTAAAATGATTATTGTACGTTAAACCGGAAAAAATCGCTCACACTGATTTCAATTTTAAATATATTTTTTCAATACAAATATAAACAGTTTCTTTATTATAATGTTAGCTTGTTTCATTACGATTCTAACAACATAAGTTTAATATACAACTCCCGAATGATTTTAATTACACTCGCCCATATCTCGCGGGACCACCCAGGAGTCGCGACGCAGATGAGCCAATTCGCGCAAAATGGCCGCCACAGTCGAGTGGATATTGAAAAATTACAGAAGACGTCACTATAAAAACCTTAATCCAGTATACACTTGCAGTGCTAAATAATGTTTTATTTCCATCAGGTCAACGTCTGCTGTTCACCATTAGTTACGTTCCAACCTTGAAGCCACGTCAGAACCAACAAACCACGAGTACCCAGAGTGAGTAGGGTTTGGTACACCGCAGCTTACCCCTCCAAAGATTAGGCGTCAGTGTATGTATGTATGAGTTTAAGTGATGCATGTATGTAGGAGGAGGCATGCTGGCACCAATGGGCGGGCTCCTTCAGTAATACCTACTATGGCTTTTCAGAAAAACAGAAAATCTATATTAAGTAATCCTTCCGTAGCTTTTCATCGAGGAGCAATACCCTCCCCTCCTACTCTGGAGAGGTCTCTTCTTACTCAAAGGTCGACAATGCACTTGTATCTCTAAAGTTCTAGTTGCCCATGCGATAGTCACTTACTAACAAGTTACCGTCTGCTCGACCGCGCCCTGTGTCATGCAAACACAAGAATAACACGAGGAGGCTCTCCATCCTATTGTTGGAGATGTCCACACGACAACAACTGACCATAAATACTTATATTATTTATCTATTTTTGTTACAGTATGGAGTTTTCTTCAACATCTACAACACAAGCTGGAGGCAACCCGACTGATGTGTATATAATTTACTATCTAAAATTCTTTGAAGACTTCAAACTACTCAATACATTGATTTATTAAAATATAAGAGAAACTAATGTTTAATTATTTATTTTACCCAAATGCGTAACAGTAGAATTGAGCGTGGAAGAGCCAGCCCCACACACAGTAATATTACTAGAAATAGAGGGTTCCCTTATCGTTGTCACGTGTCCCCCATGCTTTAGCGCCATCTATTAATTGTGATCCCTAAACTACCCTACATGTTTACAAAAACATACGTAATTTTCTTAGTGTGCTTCTACTTTGAAATGTCGGAAAATTATTTACACCACAAATAATTCCTGAAAACACAGCTTTTGTTTGTAAAACTCCATTGAAGTATTTGAGTTTAGACTACTTACTTACTATCAGATAACAAAAGCTGAGTTTTTAAGAAGTAGTGTTCACATTTAAAAAGGAAAGTCAATAAATAAAAACACGGTCAGGTAGAGAGTAGCCGAGGGTTCCGTACCTACCCAGAATTTACGTAGATTTTACGAAAATTTGTCAGTAGTAATTTGGTTAAAAATAAAGTCTTACAGCACAAGTAGAGAAAATAATGAAAAATAAAAAAAGTTGAAAATTAAGAAAAATATAATTAATTAATAAAAATAAAAAAGTTTTCGCGAAAATCGAAATTTGTGACAAGAAAGTGATCTTATAAGGGTTCCTTATTTTTCTATTGAGGTATGGAACCCTAAAAACGATTTTTTTTGTGTGTATGTTTATTATATTAACAATGATAATGCGAGGCACTTTTGATTTTATTATTCCCATCATACATAACTTTCCCTGAAAAAATTTGGTTATTTAAAACCGAATCCTCAAACATTTTTCCAAAAGCTGCAGGCCTAGCCAAGTTACAAATGTATCGGATCGAATCTCTTTCTAAATTCGTTGACTCCTCGTCGTAAACGATTTTAGAAAACGCAAAGTTGCTAGCCAAGTTGACACGAATTAGTTGATCGCTCGTTCTACCATGTACTTGGAAAAAATCTATACTTTAGTCTATGGTGAGCTTTCTTATTAACGTCAAATTAACATTGTCAAACCAGTACTGTTTATTACAATTTAAAACCAAATTGTCAATTAATATTTGATCAGTACTTGGTAATACTTACACTATTTTTCAAGGATTCTATTGTTATTTTTTGTATTTCATATTAACTCAATGATTTTATAAAAACAATTTAATTTTTTTTTAAGGATCCACAAGCATTTTTTTTTTCACTCATATCGTCCATAATATAGCAGATAACTGGTGAAATAAAACACTAACACGAGAAGCTAGCTCAACTCAATTGTAGTGGCGGAGGAAAAACACACAACGCACAGAAATTCACCAATACGACAAAAGGAAAACTTAAAAAGTTTTGTGGTGTTTTGTTATTACCCGCGGCTCCTCCCAGGTGTATATCGGTCATTGTGGAAAATAGTAGCTTATATCCTTTCCCGGGACTCAAACTGTCTCTATACCAAATTTCATCAAAATCGGTTTAGCGTTTTAAGGGTGAAGAGGTAACAGACAGACAGATAGACACACTTTCACATTTATAATATTGGTATGGATTTTTATTCGGTAATCAATTATTACTAGACTTGCAACGAATATTCGGTTACTATTCGGTATTCGGCCTATTCGGCTGCTTTCTTGCTTTCGGCCGAATACCGAATATCTACATATTATTCGGCCGAATACCGAATACTTAAATAATATATTTTGTCATTGAGAAATAATTGGTAAAATGAAACCTTAAAATCCATTGATTACGTATATATTCATGTTTTCATTTCTGTTATAATTATTTAAGTAGTCATTGGTGCATAACACAGGTACATAATCATCTTCTGAATAGGAAAAATGGAGGATTCTATGTATTTGAATTATTGTGGTAATCAAAATTTAGAAGGGTAAGGTTCTCATTTCTTTTATAATCATTTATTAAGTAGTCATTGGTACATAAAACAGGTACATAATTTAATTCACGTCTGTACAAGTTTTTGGCGCTAAAATCCAGCCGAACACTTTTGCCTAATATTCGGCTATTCGGTCAGGGGCCTCGCCGAATATTCGGTATTCGGTATACTGCCGAATATACTATTCGTTGCAAGTCTAATTATTACTGAATTAGTCAAAAACTGTAAAGTTGCAACACTTGAAACTATTAAAAATCAAGGTGTAACCATAAAGACATATCTCTATGAGTGTAACTGGAAAGTGATTTAACGCCATCTGTCTACCTCTTTAGAGATTAGATAAGATTATACACAAATAATGGAGGTAGTAGTTAGCGGTAACAATACCAGAAAGCACCACCATTGGTGTAAAAATGACACGAACACTTTATACGAGTCCTCCCCCCCCCCCCCGGGGCCTCTCAGAACCACAGCCTCACAGAATCACAAACCACAACAAAACAGGATTTGTTATCCGTTAGTCACGTGATTAGAAATACCAATCTGAAAATGTGTCGTAATCGTACAATTTTGGCAGCTGACTAACCAATCAGCTGTCTTGCTTGTCTTGTCTTTAGTTGGCGCTGAAATTGAAATAATAAATTGATGTTTGTGGTATATGGATAACTACAAGCAAACTTAAACCAAAATGCACCTACTACCTGTTCACTCTGGATCAACCAAAGTTTGACTGGTAGAGAATGCTTTAGGCATTAAGTCCACCAATGCACCAAAAGTGCATGGTGTATAAATAAATAAATAAATGATAATAAGTCACAGTGGTTTTTATTAATTAATGACTTAAATCATATAATGGCAAGGATTGAATAATAAATGATTTTATTCCAACCCTAAAGGGCGCTACACACGGCTAAGATACTATAATATTTTATCTTAAGATTTTAATTTCGACCGCTCTCCTGTTTATTTTTTCTGTCTCTTTCTCACCCATTGGTTTTATGTCACACTTGCGCTGAGCACTCGTCTAACCACAGAACAGTTAAGAGATCAGAAGTGCCTTGTGGGCGGGGAAGGCGCGCCACACATATGACGCTTATGTGTCAACGCTCATAATTATATATGTCACCTGAAATTATCTTCAGGAATCCCACTCTTATTGTGACAGCGTGCGTTTTTTAATAGCTTCGTAAGCTATCGAAAAAAAAAACGAATTGTGCCGTCTTGCGCTATTATCAGAAAAGAAGCAAGGTGTGTAGTATCCGTCCGTGTGGTGACGGATTAAGAATACAGAGTGTCACCACCCCTATTCATCCCGTGGGTGTCGTAAGAGACGACTAAGGGAGAAAAATACGAAGAACAACAGCACTGCAGAGAGAAGGAAAACCTGACACAAACCCTATACCAACCCGTCTGGCCAGCGTCGTATAGTAGGCCAAAACCTCCTTTCTAAGGAGAGGCTTAAGTCCAGCAGTGGACTATTAAAGGCTGTTGATGATGATGATTGATGTGTGTAGTATACAGTAGGTACGGAACCGTGAACTGTGAAAGACTGGTGATTTATCATTTGATTTTTTCGTACGCAGGTTGGTGTTAATACAAGTGACATTTGTACTATTCGTGTGCAATAACTTGAGACCCGAACGCGGTGACGTCACAGACACGCCTTTGTACAGAGTATGCAAAAAGTAGTACTACAAGCTTCCGCACGCGTCTTTGTCTATGCAATTTTTTATTTAAAAAATAACATAGATAAAGTGTTGTACTCAAACAACGACAGTTCGTATGAATTTTTTATTATTATACTGAACCTACGAAAAAGTAGTAATATTGAACTCATAATTGTAACAATTGTATAATGGATATGTGTATCTATTTCCCAACGATTAGGTTATTATTCTCTATTCTCCTGTGAATTTTGAGTTGCAGGTATCCATGGGCGGCGGTAGTTGCTTACCATCAGGTGACCCGTCTGCTCGTTTGCCCCCTAATACCATAAAAAATCATTAATACATTTTATGACCTACTATATTTATAGTGTACAAGAAAGAATAAATGAAAAATTAACCGAAAATTTAAGTTTAATTTTAACTTATATCTTCAGTTCATTTTAACATAAAATATAAACAAAATCATTCTCTTTTTTTTTGGTTTATACTAACACTAACTTGTTATATGTATAAATTAAATGTCCGTTCTGTTTTTCATTTTAGTCTATAAGAGCTCATCCAGCAAATGTTCGTGGTTGTGGAACGAACGCGTAAGCGCCATGAAAATCTCGTCGCTTACGTCCTTCTTATCGTAATTATTTGAGACCCCGGTGTGCTTAGCGCTGTAGCGCTGAGCATTCGTTATGTTCCATTAAACAAGCAATAATTGTTTCAGCGCTGTAGTGGCGATTAGTTGGAACGAGTTCCTTATCGCGCGTTACACTCTCTGAGCGGATGGAAGCGAGACCGAAAAATGTATAACGGTGGCTGTAAGTAAATTGTATAGTTTGACTCGACTAGGTAGTAGGGACGTGATAAAATCACAATCACATGTGACAAATCATATGATTTATACATCACCTCACCATACCTGCGGCTGATTTACAAAACCACTGCTACTTAATTATTGTTATTACGCTAGCGCAAGACTCGCGAAAGTTCTAAATCTGAAAAAGACGGTCGTGATCTTTGAAAAAAGAATTTTGATTTATTTAAATGCCATTTATCTTTGTCTATCACGAAATCACAATCACATGCCAAATCACTGTGACTAGAATCAAACATTTCATCAAATGAATGATTTAAAAGTAGCAATAATTTCCATGTGTACTAGGTAGTCTCTCCCCGCACCGCGCGCCGTTGCACTGACTGTGAAATTGTGATGAATACTGTGACAGTAGGTAGACACTGTAGACAGTAGCGACAGTAGCAGTTGGCGCGTCGCGACGCTCACATATTTTTAATATTTCATATATATATACATATATACGAGTATATATATACGTGTATTTGTATTTACCACTCGGCTTGTCAATTGCTTCAACATACGTTATGCATCGTTAACGTTTCTTCAATATAATGGAGTGTGATAATTGTTTAGTACAAGTTGAAGATAGTTATGATAAAATAAAGTAAGTTATTAGTGTGGATATTTATTATAATCTTATTTTAAATAAGGCCATTAGTGCAATATTGCAACTAGTTGCTGCGAGTGATCAATAGTTTTGAAGAGAAGTATCATTTGTTGTTGTTCATGTTTTGAACACTTAACATGACATTATGTATATAATTTAGGCGAAGCTGATTATTTATTTTATACTGATTAATTCAGTAATTTAAATAACAAGTTGTAGTGGTTATTTATTTTTGTGTATTTTGTGTGATATGCAGAGTCTGCGTGCAGGTTAGGTGTCGTGACAGAGAAAAAGAGGGAGAGAGAGAGTTGTTGTGTATTTGTTTACAACGGACCGTCAGATGTGTTTGGTGATTTATGGTGCGTGTTCTTTAAAATAATGTTGAATTAAAGATGTAAATACTTCTTACGTAAATACCTCGTACTCATGTATTGTAACTTTGTTATCATTGGAGCTATTGTCCATCTAACCTAAGAGGTACAATTTGACAGTTCTGACATATTGAAGAATAGGGAGGAGGTCAAAGAAATCGGTTACTACAATAGCCGATTCTTAAGGGATATCTATATCATTTCTTTGTAGTTTTAAATCCATTGCAGTTTTACTGATTTATGTAAATGTAAAAGCCCGTATGTTATTATAATATCTTAGGTTTCACTAGTAACTCTATATAAGTAATGTAAACAGCCATGATCAGCGAAATTTATAGCCGCCAAAAGACATGTTATTAGAGAAATATCTTGAAGAGCGAAAATTGCTTGCAACTGTTCTTTGTAATCAACACTTATTATGGAAAGGACAACGGCAGACATGTATGGGACTTTCATACCGCCTTGCGTATCTCATGGTAGGGATTATTGTAATAAGTGGAGTGAGGCCACTTGCCGAGCAACGAGGGCTTGTTGGTTGTCCCGTCTAGAGGCACCACAAGCTGGCTTTGCTGCCATGGAGGCGCTCCAGCTTTCTGCATTCTCTATCGCATATATTATGGAGAGTGCTTCGAGGAATTGTTAGGACTAATACCGGTCCGCAACCTTCCGCCATCGTTCCACACGGCAAAATTCTCATCCCACCACTTGGATAATTGGCGCTTCACCACTGTGCGCTTTACAAGACACTTTTTGCCTCGCACTACTAGTCTGTGGAACAAGTTATCGGCTGCGGTATTTCCGGACCGATACGACCTTCAAGAAAAGAGCGCACTCCTTCCTCAAAGGCTGGCAACGCGCTTGTGACTCCTGAGTTGCAGGCGTTCATGGCCGGCGGTTGCTTTCCATCAGGTGTCCCGTATTCTCGTTTGCCCCCCTATTCCATAAAAAAAAGCTTGTCCTCGTCGAGTGGGTAGGCATCACCACGAGTCCTTTTCCTTCCGACTAACGCAGGTCCTTTCCGGGCACGATTGCTTGAAGTACCTGCACTCACACTTGGAGTGAATTAAGTACCATCTGGGCTGTTTTCCAAGCTTAACAGCCGAGACAGACAAAACAAAAAACAAATTTTTTGACAGATTTGCCGCCCTCTTAAATTTGCCGCTCTAGGCTCTAGCCTACTCAGGCTGCTGGTAAATCCGCAGGTAAACGATGCTAGTAATATTAGTTCAATGTGCATACCCTATAATGTTTGCTGTGTGCTGGTGTGAACAAGTGAGAAGAAAGAAATAGATTTCGAGTACGCAGTAGGTTAAGTGCAACAGAGACAGAAAGAGAGAGAGAAACGTCTTGCATTGTGTGTGCTCTGTGCTAGAGTGAACAAGCGAGAAAGACAAAGAAATAGACTTCAAATGATCACTACGTAGATTGCACAACGAGTTGCAGTGCAGCAATAGTCTATGTATATACCGGGTGTTGAGAAAAGTACCGGAACAGTTGAATAATTCGCTAGGGATGCATTTTTCGGCAATACGTTAAAAACAAAAGTTACAGGAATTTTCCTTGGCTATCCATTATTGACCTTGATCACAACCTTACAAGCTACAAGATTTTGGGTTTTTTTGGGTATTCAATGAAGACCTTAGATTATGAATGGGTAAGATGTAACTGTAAACCCAATATTTTCACCTCTAAACGTGTGAGTTTGACCTTGGATTGGTGACCTTTAGAGGTCAAAAATTGCGTACTGAACGGTACGGTCATATCCGATTATACATTTTCCTCTCTTTTCAATTCCGGGCTTAAAAATATGCAATCCCATTTGAAAATTGCCCTTAAACCTTGAGATAACCTTCAAGGTTGCGATTAGGCAAATTACTGTAACTTTTGTGTTCAACGTATTTCCGAAAATGCATCCCTAGCGAATTATTCTGCTGTTCCGGTACCTTTCTAACAGCCTGTGTATGTTTACCTGGTTTATGGTATACCTATATACATATTTTATACATACATATTTTTTTATTTCAATAGCAAACCAACTCAAGGGTCAACTGTACCAGTGGCGATATCGAAAAAAACAAAAAGCAATGCACAGAAATGCAAAGAATATCGTGAGAAAAAAAAATTAAACACACCAAAAGAAAAGAAACCACCTAAAAGCAGGGCACAAATAAACAAAAACTATTATGAGAAGTACAAAATGTCAAAGTAAGATACCAATTAACAAATATTAATCTCTAACAACATAATTAATTATTTGTGTCATTATTAACAGACATGTATTAGCTTACAATTTTATAATAACTTTTTTTGGGAACGAAGTTCCTTACCGCGCGTTACGCTCTGATCGGATGCGAGCAAGACCGATTTTTTTTCAATAAGACTGTCCCGACCTATGACACTATGGCAATCGACTACCAAAAAGCGAAAGGAACTTCGTTCCGACCGGGGCGGGGTCCATAGACCCCCACACCGTTTTTTTTTCTCAAATATATTTCTTATTGTAAATATAATTATTCTTTTAGTAGCACAAGTCGTAGAGAATACATGAAAGAATATAGACAGAAGAAAAAAATAGAAAAACAAATTCAACAAATTCTTCAATTAAAACAAATTCAACAACAACAAAGTGATTATCAATTTCAGGTATTATTAATAAAATAAAATTCATACAGTTCCTAAATTTTTATTTGTTATTATATATATTCCAGATCATTTAATGTTTAATTTATCATTTTTTTAAACATAATAAATGTATCTTATCATATTTTTTTTAATTTAACTATATTAACTTAATATTTTATGATATAAATTAAAATGACCATAGCAAACGTCTAAAAGCGAAAGGAACTTCGTTCCTACCGGGGGTCCATAGACCCCTCACGCCATTTTGATTTTAAGTTTTTTTAATTAAATACCTTTAGGTTTCTGTGGTTATAAGACATAGGTCTACGAAGATTTCCTTGTATTATTCATTTGGTTCTCTCTTCAATGAATTCTTAAGTGCGGTATATGAATACTACATATATTACTAATACAACGTATTTAGTTGCAGTCATTCTTAATATTGAACCTTTTTGTTTTTAGCCTTCAACGAGTCCCACAACATCACAGCAAAACGATATGCGGAAAGAAAGAAAAAGTCCCTTACCCGAGGTAATTATAATATAATAAATAGAACTGACACATCTCGCACACGGCCGTATGCTTAGAATAATAACGTAACATAAACTGGGCCGAGCCTGTACTATGGTAACCAGACTGCTGATAAACATACTTTATTTTATATCTCTATTATTTTTGTGCCTATATGAAAAACCGATGTCGACAATTCTGCCAACGACGAATGTGACACGTTATAGATAAAAAACACCCACACACAGAATTAAATGACTGTACTTTTCACATCGTTCTGATCATCATCCCACGAGCTCTGGCGTAATCAGGGCCACTATACAGGGCCACTACACTGTACAGGGCCACAGGGATACTAGACCAACAGGCCAGTGATAGATAAACAATACGCATCCATTCTTATAAATGTAAAAGTGAATTTGTTCGTTTGTTCTTTCATGCCTAAATCACTAAATTGATTTTGAAATTCTTTCACAAATGGAAACCTACATTATCAGCGAGTATTATAGGCTACTTTTTGACGGGATAACCAACATACACATGCTTGCGCACCCGCGGGCAAAAGTTAGTACAAATAAATTTAGAGGTTCTTTTAATCTAAAGAAATAATTGTTACCGAAGGCATGGATAAAACATGAACATGAGCGAAGCAGATTTGTCCGCTTCGCTTCTTGTTCAGTCTTAATTTGATTTAAAAACTTAACAGTAAGTAGCAGACCTGCCCTAATCTCCATTATTATTATCACTCGTCTTTCCAGGCTAAAACCATAATCGCCAATGTGTACGACTTCTTCCAAGCCGAGTACGAGAACTTAAAGTGTTACACCGGAGACAGTTGTGACTTCAGCCCTTTAGTTAACATCATCAAGCGTACTGCTGCAGCCACGAAGGTCAGTGCAGAGACCGTAAAAGAGATATTAAAGGAAAGAAGCTCAGAACAGTATACGCATGAGTCTGTTTCAAGGAAACTCGCCAGAGTGACTCACAACTTTGAGGACGAAGATGTAAGGTGAGTGATCTTGACCGGACCGTGAAAGAAAAAACACCATGTCTTCTCTTTCCTCCAATCAACGTTATATAATAATAATAACTCGAGACTTCTTATGGCCATTTACATGGCCGTCTGATTCCAAACTAGGCAGACATACCTGACCTGTTCCTGGGTTTGGCGGTCCAGAAGAATTCTAAACCTCTCCCGGTCTGTTTTTCATTGGTCATTTCTTGTTTTATACGCATATTTGGCACAGACCTACTTCTTAACGTTCCATGGATGCACCATGAAGGTGCCGGCTCCATCGTGTGATAGATGGGAGCAGTACATGCGACTTCGACAGCCCCTGGGAATTGTGACCCAGGAGTAGGTTTACCTAAAATTCTGTTGAAATAAAATGAAATAGATTCAAAACAAAATTTATTACAATCGCAATAAGAACTTCAGGTAAAATAATATATCAGAAATCCGATCACTTTATTAAAATGGCAGTAACGAAGTGCTGTGGTGCAACTGCCACGCATGGTTGAGAGCGTAGGCGTTATACACGCGTGCACACAGCGTTCCAATTAAATTAAAACAGCTAATTTACACTCATCACTTATCCTCGATGCAGTCTCAAAGTATAAAGTAGCTCATACTGATCTATAAATTCTATATTATTAAACACTTATTTGCTGGATGCGAGAAGCCCAAAATCGATCTAAGTGGCGTGCAATGAGAGAGGCCTATGTCCAGCAGTGGACTGCGGTAGGCTGATGATGATGATGAAGCACTTATTTGAAATAGCAACTCGTGACGTCATATGTGGGTATTGTCAAATAATTTGATTGTTTGTTTATCTAAATTTTAAAGTAATTTATTCTAATCACAGAAAAAATACGGTGTTGTTTTCTTTTTGTTCAGTCCGATCGAAGAAGAGTCGAGTCCTGAAAGCGCAGATGATGCTCAACATGGCGACAGAGAAAGGTAAGTGTTCCTTTAGGTGTTGGTTCCGTCTATTAACGCTTCATCAGCTCTATCTTACTTCTGTAGAGATAAGGTACCAGATATAACTACACTGGACCGTACTTGAAAGGTTGCAGGTATTACCAAACTGTTCCAGAAGGAGGATCATGTTTCATCATGGATCATCACGATTCTAGGAACTTTAGAAGCGTGAAATGTTGCTAATTCAGAGTCCTCTAGATGACAAACATGTAATTACTTTCAGTGCCATTGACATAGAAGAACATCCAATAAAAGCGTTAAAAGTGGAAATTGATGTAAATGAAGAATACCACAGCGAAGCCAATCCCGGCATTTTGTTTCAAATACAACCTCCACCAACACAGTGAGTTATATTTCTAATGTTATATTAGCAGCGTGATATTGACCTGTAATTATGTAAAGACCGTGTGGTGACGAATTAAGAATACGGAGTGTTACCACCCCCTATTCATCCCGTGGTTGACGTAAGAGCCGATTAAGGAAGAAAAATACGCAGGACAATAGCACTGCAAAGGGAAGGAAAACTTGAAACAAACCCTATACCAACGCGTGTGGTCAGCGTTACTTTTTACGAAACGCTCCCACAGGTAAGGGCGATGAAATATGTAAGATATAAAAAAAAACACTCTTTAGCAGCAATCTGAATAAAAATATAAAATTAAATTAAAATTGTGTATTCCCAGTTTTTCAAACTGTCATTTATTAAATTTGTGACCCTCAAAAATAATAAATTTTCCCTGTTTTTGCAACATTTTTCATAGGTGCTCGGCTCGAAGAAAGCGCTAACCATCACTAAAACATTTTTTTTAAATTAAACCAGTACGTTCTGAGATTAGCGCGTTCAACCAAACGAACAAACTATTCATCTTTATAATATTAGTATAGAATCTGAAGTTTGTAAATTCTTGCAGGCAGCTATCTGCCATTCATCAGTCACTACCACCAACGGCTCTAGCACACGTCACGGTCAAGCAAGAGCCTGTAGATGACGAAGATCATGAGTGAGTATACTGACCCTAGTTTAGAACGACTTGAATACTGTTTAGGACTCAGGTTCAATTCTGACTAAACGTCAAGTTAAGCGAACATCTTTAAAATGTTTATAAAATATTAGCTTTATTCTATTAAAATAGAGTTTAAAATTCTAGTCTAGCGGAATTTACAAACCACGTGTTCGTTCTTCTGCTAATAACACAATTACTGAGAAATTTTATTTCCACGTAGTCGTGTTTTTTTTTCCAATATTCACCTTGTGAAATTTATCTTTCAGGCAATTGGATGCTGGTGACGCTGTAAAGGACACAACCAGTTTTGACGTTCCTATTTGCGGGTAAGTGACGTAAACTTAGGTTTCTCACCAAAATTGATTTCTTCTTAAACTCCAAAATGACAGTTCACGTTTGAAATAGAATTTGTGAGGTCACACTCCGCTACTGTCAAATCATTTTTTTTTTGGTATAAGGGGGCAAACGAGCAGACGCGTAACCTAGCGCCCATGAACACCTGCAACTCAAAAGTCAAAAGTGCGTTGCTGCCCTTGGAGTCCCTCCTTCTCGAGTCAGCGGGAGGGGGGATTTGGGCTCCGGTAACCTCACTCACTCAGTGAAAGGCAACGAAAGAATTGCTTAACGCTTTTCTATGAGGCCGTGGTATTATTCCGGTCGAGCCCATTCGTGCCGAAGCATGGCTCTCCCACGGTTGCCATTTACCAACTTTCATATTTTACTATTAATATACACATATTCAATGGTTTCTTTTTTCTTCTTAATACATATTTTCACGAAAACCCTCACAAGCACAAATCAATATATTTCTTATTAATTTTCTCAGTAAATCGCACGCCATATGACGTCATAATCCACAGCTTAAATCAATAAAAAATAAATCTATTTTTCAAAACGAAAAATATTTACAATTTATTTTCATGCAAAAAACATATTGTATAATTATTGTTAAGAAAAGATACAGAAATTTATAAAGTCGCTAAATACAGGAACAAATCTACTCAAGATATTAAAACCAATAAGTTTATTAAAAATGATGCCAAAAGTTGCTAACAACTAACGAAGATATAAACCAAAGATGGTTTCAATACTATAAACAACTTATGAACGAAGAGTTCCCTAGTAAAGATCTGGAACCGCTAGCACCAGTGGAAGGACCTATACAGGAAATAAGCTTGGCAGAGGTAAAGTTGGCAGTCAAGAGGATGAAAAACCGTAAAGCCGTGGGTCCGGATGAAGTCCCAGCGGAGGTATGGAAATCACTCGGTCCATTGGGACTGGAATGGCTTATGAGACTTTTTAACCTCATTCTTAGAACCAGAAAGATACCAAATTCCTGGCGCCTTAGTCATTTGGTTCCCTTCTACAAAAACAAAGGTGACGTTACGGAATGCAGCAACTATAGAGGAATCAAACTCACATCGCATACTTTAAAAATTTGGGAACGAATAATTAACGGCCGTATTCAAAATCTGGCATCCATAAGCCCAAATCAGTTCGGTTTTACACCCTCAAAATCAACAACCGACGCGATCCAAGCGGTAAGAATTGTCACAGAAAAACATCGTCTGAACAAAGAAGATTTACACCTTATATTCATCGACCTTGAAAAGGCTTTCGATAGGGTTCCCCGCAAACTCGTGTGGCAAGCTTTAGGAGCACAATATCTGCCCGAGACATACATACAACTAATACAAGATATGTATAACAATGTGCACACTAGAGTTAAAAGCCCCGCTGGGGTAAGCGATGAATTTGAGGTGAGAGTGGGGGTCCATCAAGGCTCTGCCTTAAGCCCGCATCTTTTCAATCTTGTCATGGACTATGCCACAAAGAGAATTCAAGCCCCGTTACCCTGGGACCTCCTGTACGCTGATGACATCGTATTAATAAAAAACTCTGTAACAGAACTACAAACTGCCCTAACATCATGGTTTAATGCGCTCGAGTCTGTAGGCCTCAAAGTCAGCATATCGAAAACGGAACACATGGAATGCCGATTCAGCAATGACGTCACATCAGCCACAATACACTTTCCCGACCACACTCCAGTGCCTAAAGTAACGCAATTCAAATATCTAGGATCTGTTATTATGAATAATGGAGATATTGAGGCGGATGTAACACATAGAGTAAATGTGGGATGGCAAAAGTGGCGAGCATTAACTGGAGTGCTATGTGACTCCCGCATGCCTGTTCAAACTAAAGGCAAGGTCTACAAGACTGCAGTGAGACCGGCATTGATGTATGGGGCGGAATGTTGGACAGCAAAGAAGACACACCTACAAAAACTTCATACTGCCGAGATGAAAATGTTGAGATGGGCTGGAGGGGTAACCAGACTAGATAAAATCAGAAACGAATACATCCGTGGTAGTTTCAAAGTTGCCCCCGTAACAGAAAAACTTACCGAAAACCGTCTCAGGTGGTACGGCCATGTAATGCGAAGAGACGAGGATCATGTCGTCAAGAAAGCACTGAGCTTACCAGAGAAGAAGAAAGGCCGAGGACGTCCCCCTACTACCTGGTGGACCAGCATGACAAAACTTATAATGGAGGAACAATTACCCGACCCGACAACCCAGGATCGAATGTCCTGGCGCCGCATAATTAGGAGAGCCGACCCTACATAAAGTGGGAAAGGGCAAAGAAGAAGAAGAAGAAGAAGATTGTTAACTACCATATTTAATTCATTTTATATGTTATCGTGATAACTGACAATATCCAAATATGAATATTATGTGTTGCTCCAGCGAATAACGTAAAAAAAATAATTGAAATACCCACACATCTTGGATTTGAAATTTGTCATGGTGTATAGTATTCTACTAGTAAAATCGGCGGCCATCTTGGACCGATTTTTATCAGCTAAGATCACTCCCGACTAATTCACATTTCAAACAAAAAAAAAAACAAAATCTGTTCAACGGTTCGGGAGCTACGGTGCCGGAGACAGACACACACACACAGACACGTCAAACTTATAACACCCCGTTGCTTTTGCGTCGGGGGTTAATAACACCCCATTGCTTTTGCGTCGGGGGTTAATATTACCCCGTTGCTTTTGCGTCGGGGGTTAATATTACCCCGTTGCTTTTGCGTCGGGGGTTAATATTACCCCGTTGCTTTTGCGTCAGGGGTTAATAACACCCCGTTGCTTTTGCGTCGGGGGTTAATAACACCCCATTGCTTTTGCGTCGGGGGTTAAAATTACCCCGTTGCTTTTGCTTCAGGGGTAAATAACACCTCGTTGCTTTTGCGCCGGGGGTTAATAACACCCCGTTGCTTTTGCGTCGGGGGTTGAAAAAGTTCGAATTTCATTATTTGAGTTTAACAGATATTTAGTACAGCTCTCTACAAAAGCGTTTTATATGAAATCTAGCAAATCGCCGAACGTTGTCGCAGCGAAAACTTGAATGTCTTCGCAGTTTATTGACACACAAATTTAATTTAGACATACATACACAATTACCTCACGTCATACACAAATTTTTGATACCAATTTTTTTCTTTTACTTTCATAGGATAAAAAAAGTGGAAACAGTTTTTCGTGAACAACTCCCCAATAGTTGGATGCACGAATTTTTACATACCATACACTATGTCATACACTAAATATTTGTTAAACCCAAATAATGGTGCTAATTCTGTTGTTCGAAAACTCTCTAAACTAAACTAAAAATCACAAAAAAAATTGTTTAGTTCTGTCAAACAACGTTTCCTATTCTGAAAACGTAATATTTGACAGGCCAAAAAAAATTTTTGTAATTCGCACTTTTCCTTTGGGGCAACGCACACGAATATTACAGAATAATCTTACAACTTTAATTATATTTAATTTACATACATTATTTTTGTGTTCATTCTGCAGGAGATGATGATTCATGGTTGGATGGTTCATATTAATATAGACTTTTGTAAATCCTTGCAGGCAGCTGTCTGCCATTCATCAGTCACTACCCCCAACGGCTCCAGCACACGTCACGGTTAAACAAGAGCCTGTAGATGACGAAGATCATGAGTGAGTATACTGACCATACTTTAGAACGACTTGAATACTATTTAGGATTCAGGGCCAACTCACGCTGAACGTGAATTTAAGCGAACATCTTTCAAATGTTCGTAGCCTTATTCTATTAAAATAGAGTTTCAAATTCTGGTCAAGCGGATTGCTGTGTGTCTTTTTAAATACGCGACCCGCGAATATGTATGAGCCATGGGTTCGTTCTACTGGTATAATACAATAGGGTAGATTCCTAGGTTTAAATAAATTCTTTTTTGAGCCTGAATTGTCCTGATATTAATTATAATCAATATCGACAAGGTGTGAAAGTAGGTGAATACACCTTTATTTTTTCATCGTTTTGATCCCGTAGACACGGATACGTCATCAATAACTTATTCTGCATTATAACCCTAAAATTAACAAAATAGGGATTGATAATGTAATATTCGCAAAGTGAATGAAAACAGAAATAGCGCCACGAGTTAGGTACCTATCTCTGTTGCGTATCTGCTCGCTCTGTCTATACAAATGGTTAGTTTTTTTCATTTAAGCGAGAACTGTTTTGAATTTATAAGAAAAAGTAATTTTATTTTTAAATTTCACCTGCACTAATCGCTACTGTCTTATGCACCCTATCATCCTTCCACATGTTTAAAACTATCAAAAGTCACCATGTGTATAATTTTGTTTCGTAAACGGATCCATTGGAAAAATTGAGAATGTAAATTGGAACGTGGACAGCCACAATAATGCGATCAATTTTAATATAATTTGATTTAAGAACAAGAACGTGTGAAGACCAAGTTTCAGACAACAAGTAATGCATCGGTCTTCAGCGGTCTTCTCGACATAGGCTGCTCAATATTTAGCAAAGGGCAAGCTTACGTTACCTACACTCTTCAGAGATAAAACGTTAGACGGAATACATCTTATAAATCTCGATCCAAGTCAAGTCAAGACACAAGAAAATCCGCTCCGACTTGGGCAAATAACAAATAAACAGAAAACGTGTAAGAAAAATAATTGGCCAATTCAGTCAAATAGTTCGAAGGTACAAGAACAGATAGAAAAAAGCACAAAAAGAAAACTGTATAACGTATACGTAGGGACATACATACATTAATTAATTAAACATTGTATTAATGATGAATACTTATAATTTCTGTACAAAAACTAATGATATCCCATCAAAAACATAAATGTGAAATGAGAGCTTGAATTACATCTCAAGTGAAATAATTGCATTTTGTAAATAATTGTCTGTTAAAATTTAAGAATTTATATTACCTATAAAGTAGAACATATTGTGGTAGCACCAAAAAACAAGTAATTGTTATATAAATTTATGTTAGAATGTGGTGGGTTCTAAAATTTTAGGATTTTCTACAAAAAACTTGGCACCTACATAGATTTCAATTCTTTTGTCGGCGAAGTCAACGCCTTAATATTGAACTTGGCTCTTATTTCACGGTTATGTTTTTGATGGAATTTCATTTACATATATTATTTTTGTGTTCATTCTGCAGGAGATGATGACTCAGGGTTGGATGTTTCATATTAATATAGACTTTTGTAAATCCTTGCAGGCAGCTGTCTGCCATTCATCAGTCATTACCGCTAACGGCTCCAGCACACGTCACGGTTAAACAAGAGCCTGTACATGACGAAGATCATGAGTGAGTATACTGACCCTAGTGTAGAACGACTTGAATACTGTTTAGGACTCAGGGCCAGCTCACGCTGAACGCACAAGTTCTGCTGCTAATAGTACAACAGGGTAGATTCCTAGGTTTAAAATGTATTATTTTTTAAGCCTGAATTGTCCACCAAAACTTCTTTAGGCGCTTTGGGCATTCTTTAACAACAAACAAAATAATGTACTTTATGGTTTAACAAAAAACTTATTTTTTGATATGACAAAAAACATTGAGTTCACGACACTTTGTCCGTTACCGACACCTCTGAATTAAAGTAACTACATATATTGGCCCCGTTTACACGAGAGTTGAGTTTGGATTGAAATACATGGATAATATAACTATATATAATATAAACATATATTGTGTATACAACATAGACATACATATGTTCATGTCGGAACTTTTCGAATCGAAAAAAACAAGAAAAACTTGTAATAATAAAAAAAAAAAAAGTTATATTTCTACCCAACCGATAGCGAACAATCTAACACACTTTCTATTGCGAGAATCGCATAACATTTCAGTACAATTCAACGCATGTTTCTGTGAATTCAACATACATATATACACATAGAAAATATATATTTTGATTTAGCCAGCTACAAATAATGTATCCTACATGATCATACAATTAACTTACTAATGTGAAGTGTTAAAAATTTTATACTGTATATTGTACCTACTGCAGTGCTTTTGAGTTTGAATTTGTAAATATGTCATTGCTGATAAACTAATAGAACTGCTGCTCATCATCACGTAAGTAAACAATTGTTTAAATGAATAAATAAAGTTACGTACATTATTTTTAATTACAAATGAAAAAAAGCTAACACGTGGATAAAAAAAGGTTTTTTTTTTCTCCTAAAGAATCACGAAGAAAGAAACAGCTGTGTACATAAATATGTACACAGCTGTGTCTTTTTCTTTTTATGTTGGTCATGAGATCTGTACCAACTGTTACGATGCAGGAATGCAGCACAGAGCGCTAAATTTAAAACATAATTATAGTAAAATGAAAAAGCTTCAAAAACTATAAATAAACAAGTAAAACTTCATAACTTTTTGGAAAGCTTGGCTTTCTTCTCGAACGATATTTATGTAAATACATATAAAAAAACTAACGTGTACTCCTGTATCGGCTACTCCGTGTACTCTTGTATTGTAACAGAAGTCACACTAATTTAGACGACGTGACTTCTTTTGTTGCAGATTAGATGACAAATAACCTATATTAGGGTTGTAAGTGTTACTTTTAGCCATTGAGTTAAAACAACACTAGAGAAGCAAACCTCATTATCACACGTCGAAAAAAGTGTAACCACTTTTGAACTTTGACGACGTAGCTTTGATACCACTAAACATTTGAAAGTAAACATATTTATGTCTCATTTACACGCGAGACAAGAACAATACCATCGCTCGGATTAGACAAAGACAAAGATATAACTTTACGATGGTGGGCCAGTGTTGACTACCGTATGAAATTTTACCCATAACAACTAAGAAACAATTTTTTTTTAAAACAATTTTGTAATAAAGTAAATTTATTTAAATATTCTAAATAATATATTTCGAATTGAATAGAATAGGTATAAATAATAAAATAACTGGAAATATTTGGTTAAAAGGGTTTATATTCAGTGTAAAATCAAACTGCGCTGTGAAGCATCAGTTTTGTATACAATTGTCTTTTAGACTCTTTTTTATAAGTTTGTGTGGATATTGTACTTTCATGATACAATCTTATTTTTACGTATGTAAAAATAATAGCATTTAATAATAAAAGTGAATGATCAACTTGTACTGATAATAAATAATCCCCAGGGTGTATTGCAAATTCTATTATAATTTAAAAAAGAAATAAAAAAAAAAAAAAAAAATTACAATATATTTTTTTTTATTTATGTTTATTTACTTTTTTATTTTATATTTTTATTTTTTATTTTTATGAAAAACATTTATTATTATTATTATTTTGAAACATTTATTATTATTAACACATTTATTATTAAAAACATTTATTATTATTATTATTATAATATTATTATTATTTTGTACAATTATTATTTAAAATTGATAATAAATTAAGAAAAACAATGAATTAATTCTTTTGTACAAAAGTCTCCAGCACTGCGAGCTTGGCACTTCTGCCAAGCTCGCAGTGAACGTTCAACGGGTCCCTAAAAAAAGTGATCGGTCCAGCCCTAACAACTACCGTTCTTCCTATATTTTATTATTATTGGCAAAATGTTTAAAAACAGTATAAAGCATATTATTTCACAAATTATAAAATCTCCCACTAATGTGGGAAAACCAAAATGATTTTTTAATGGTAACACTGATTCTAAATTACAATTATCAGTGTTTTATTTCAATTATAGCCTTATTTACGATATTATCAATACAAAAAAAATAAACTTACACGTGATAAGTAATTCCGCATGATTTATTAATGTTTTGTGACCTTGAAACGCATTCTTTCACTACGCATTTAGCCATTTTGGCGATTGTTACTGTCATGTGTCGCTATGTTCAACTCGGTTGACGCCACATTGAATACTGAATTGACGTTTGCTACGCATATGCCTGTGGACAGATGTGCAGTAGCAACGATTTTAGGCGGTAATTACTCATCTATGTAAGTATTATATCAATGCTTTTAGCAGAATGAATGCTGAACTGGTTTCTAATCGAATCTTAAATGCTATTCATCTCTGGAAATAATGACTCTTAGGCATAGTTAGATAAAAATATTGTAGAAATAGGACAAGCCAGCTTCTTCAAACAGTTAAATGTGTCTGGTAACGCATTCCATGTTTCCAAAACTTTGTCATTAGCACTACTTATATTACTTGTCACTCTTTCTGTCAATTCAATTAATTCCAACTCTCCTTGTTTCAATAATTTTTTGAATCTGCATTGAAATTGAACTAGACTGGAAATCAATCAGCTGCATTTCAAATTCTTTAATTTCCAAGCAATCGAATTGGGACAAGTTCAGTTTATAAAATGACGTCATATCAGGGTACGTCATAAACTTGAGTATTACCGATAATTCTTTGAACTGTGAAAATCTCGCAGAATATTCCTTGATTGAAGGAGCAATCACAGAAATAAATTCTTCATTAGCTTTTTCTTCGCCTGGTTTCTCTAAATCGTTGTTTTTTTTAATTTTAAAAATATTTGTAGTTTCCTGTGGTAATATCGTTCCTGAAAACACGCAGTTTAGCTTCAAAAGCGCGAATGAGATCGCTTCACGTGTAACTCATAGAAATGTTGGCATATGTTTGTAAAAAACATCAATTTTGAAAGCCACATAACATCCAACAACTATTGTATTGTTCAATTTTTTCTTCATTTTGTAGAAACAGTCTGATTTCTTCCAAGCAATCAACAAATCTTTGAATTACGTACCGCTAATACCATCAGTAAGCCATTATACACCGAGTTGACTGCATCAAACAAAGCATTCGCTTGTTTCAAGCCTGCGACGAGATGAGTTTGACTATTTTTGTGACTACCGCCATTATATCATCAAGAGATGTTAAACCACTCTTAGCACACAAGGCTTGTTGGTGAATGATGCAGTGGAATTTTTAAAGTTGAAAGTTTATTTGAAATAAACTTATGAAACCATATTTTTTACTCACCATACTTGGAGCACTATCAGTTGTTAGGGAAACAATTTTTTTTAAATCAATTTCTTTTTCAGCAAGCGAATTTTTAACAGCCCTACAAATATCTGTGCCCTTTGTAGTTGTTAGAAACGATGTTATCGCAATTAACTCTTCCTTAATGACGTTCCCTACGCATTATCGAGCAAAAACAGCTAAACGTGCAGATTTTGTGAAGTCAGTGCTTTCGTCAAGACAAATCTAAAAAAAGCGGAGTTAATGTCAATTTTTTGTTGATCTGTAACATACTTGGCCAGTTACAGGATTCTTTCTTTTATTGTGTTTCTAGACAGCAGAGTATCTTTCTGAATTATCTTATCTTTTTTATCGAAATCATCAAAATGACAGGGCGCACATGCTAACCGGAATACCTTAAAAAAATCGCCTTGTATAGCTTTACAATGCCGTGCAATGACATTTGCAGCCGCGTAACTTGCCGTGCTCATATGATAATTTTGTCAACATATTCATAATCAACATAATCATACACGTCGACTGTTTATTTCTGTCTTTTTTGACTAACGGATTTGTGTTTCTATTCCGTATTCGATCTGTATTCCGTTTCACAGACGATGTTCTACATACCACTGTTCCAGAACATAAAACACACACCGCTTTGTCACCTTTACTAATGATGTCGTATTTCTCAGTCCATCAAGTTTGAAATTCTTTAATACACTTAAGTACTATCTTGCACTTTTTGTTTGTTTAAATAACAGTTTAAAATCATAAATATAAATCAAATAAAATTTAAAATACAATTATAGCCATGAAATTCACTATTATGCGTAAACAAACTATGCGTCATTAGTAATTGAAATCCACGATGTACACGGTATCTTAAGGAGACTAGGTCACGCTCCCCGCCAGCAATCATTGCAGCCATGCAGGCGGGTGAGGAGAGCTGGGCCATAGTGGTCTCTTTCTGTGAAGCTGTAATGCTCCAGAAGGAGACAGCTGAACGGGATCAGAAGAGGGCCGATCCCGAGCGTAGAGGACGTCGGCGGCGATATCAGCCGTCGACGGGGCCGCAGGCCGAGAGTGGGGCCCTCTGGTGGCAGATTGATTACTGCGGTAAGGGGCATGGTGGCGGCCTGATAGTACCGAAATGCGATCGGGCCCCCAATGATAAGCGTGGGGAAGTCTCTGGCTCCGGCTCTCTGGATAGGGCCTAGTAGGTGCGGCGTCGATGTGGCGGGACCTGAAATCATGGTTCGGGTCCTTCCCGGCGTCGGGATGGTTTTTAGTGGAAACACAAAATACTCCTGGCTCCTGCATCCCCTAGGAGCCAGAGATCCGAATAGATTCGGTTTTCCACCCCGTTACCAAAAAAAAAATAAAAAGCCGTCACGTGGCTGCGGACGCGTTTCACCGCTGCAAGGTCAGTCGTGTATCTCGATTCTCGCGCTAACGCAATTTCACTGCTTTGACTGCTGCTGTACTGCTAGGAACATAATTGATATATTTTCTGTTAATATTGCTATTTACTTTATTTTTCTTTTTTTTATTATTACTGTTATACGCTTTATATGTGTTTCTCAAAATACCGAGACAAGGCAGGCTAGAAGAATAGTTTCTATTTTAGGTATATAACAATTTAAAATCAGAACTAGTGGTTCTGATTTTAAATCAAGAAGTAAGAAAACAATTACTTCTGTTAAAAATTTACTCGTCTGCCCCCTCTAAAATAAAGAAAAAACTGCGGAAGCTACGGGTGTGACTGTCCGCGCTGTACAAAATATTATAATTACAGAAGGAAAAAAAAATCATTTGCTCTAATATTCCGAACGCCTGGTACAAAACATAAATCCCGACGTACGGGCCATCTACAGCATGTAGATGACAACCTCCGGTGTGGGAACCCCCATGTCCCCTTTATGCTCCCGCGCGCGGCCTGCTTCTGCCAGGGTGACAGAAGGCCTCACAGTTAGTTCCTACCTAACTTTTTAATCTGCTGCTATTATTGATAAATCATTTTAGTTCTTTGCCACCTTAACGGATCAAATATTAAATATAAATTCTAGAAGCTCATATTTATTAAAAATGTGCTCATATAGCTAGACCGGTGTTGTTACCAAAACCGTCATAATATGCATTTTAATTTTTTGACACTAGTATTTAAAAACATTCCCGTTAACCTTTCGGAAATAGATTGCATCAAATAGATAATACAATTCTAAATTTAATAAATTTAATTTTATTACTACCCACATCTTTGTAGCTTAATAATGCTTGCAAAGAGTATATAAACTGTGTAAAATAATAATATTTATTTAGACAAAGAGTACAATAAGTTATAATAAATGGTTCTTTAATTTATAAATAAAATACATTTGTTGTTCGTTTGCCCAATCTAGGTTGAACCTGTGTCTCGAGCGAAGATGTGCTTACAAACTATTTTATCAACACAAATCTTCACAACTACAATTTAATTATAACATTTTAGTAGCCTACACAAGCAGCTAGCAATACCAGTGATAAGTGGGTCAAAATTAATGCACTAAAATCGTTCAGCCAATTTTTTTTTACATATTTGAAGTAACTGCTCAGTTTATATTTATATATATGTTTAGTACGTTCTTTTGGTCTAACTCGTCAGTCGTTTCTAATATGCTTACTCCCCTCGCCAAGGCCCGCGATAAAAGCTATGCAATAGCTTAATAAATCTTCTTTTTACAATAACACTGACATTGAAGCACTCACTACATCATCATCATCATCAGCCTATCGCAGTCCACTGTTGGACATAGGCCTCTCCTATTACACGCCACTTCGATCGGTTTTCGGCTTCTCGCATCCAGCTCCTGCCAGCCATCTTACGCAAATCTTCACTCCACCTGGCCTGTGGGCGTCCTACACTGCGTTTGCCGAGACGCAGTCTCCACTCAAGAACTCGTTTATCCTAACGGTCGTCGGTTCTGCGGCTAATATGGCCAGCCCACTGCTACTTCAGTTTGCTGATCCGGTGGGCTATGTCGATGACATAGTTTTCTGCCGGATCACCTTATTGCTGATGGGATACCTACATAACTTACTTTAATTTTAACTTCGCTAACGTTAATTAATATATATATTGGTTATAGTAGTCATACAGCTTTCAAGTAATCTATGCTTTTGGTTTTAGGTTACACTCAGTGATCGGAAAAAATACGGATGATTCTCACGAAGAACGAAAAAGACAGATAAATGACTCATCAGATAAAAACATAGAAGTAAGAAATCTTAAAAACAGAGAAAAATGTAGGCGATACAGAGAAAGGAAAAAGAATAAGGTAGCTGCTCTGCCCATCAGTGGCTCTCCTGATTCCGATGAGAAAAAAAGAGAAGAAGAAAGAAAACAAAGAAATAGAGAAAAGAGTAAGCGATGCAGAGAAAAGAAAAAGACCGAGGTCGGTGCTCTTCCCATCAGTGGCTCTTCTGATCTCGATGAGAAAAAAAGAGAAGAAAGAAAACAAAAAAACAGAGAAAAGACTAGGCGATACAGAGAAAAGAAAAAGAACGAGATTGAGAAGGATTTTTTGTGATTTTTAGTTTAGTTTAGAGAGTTTTCGAACAACAGAATTACCACCAATAACTCTGTATAACGTCACGAAATAGTATTTCATAGAAAAATGTACGTTTTGATGTTTAAAAAGTTACTGATTAGACTTTGCAGTCATCCACTCTTTTTTTTCTGTGCGGAAATCCCTTCGGATACCACTCACCGGTGGTTATGTTGGACTCGAACCGACCAAAGACCGCACGCAATCGCGGATACCAGTAGCCAGGGAACTAGGTGTACCCTAGAAAGAAAATCCCTGGTACCCCGACGTAACTTAGGCCATCTTCAGCGGGTAAATGACCCCTCCGGTGTGGGACACAAAGGGAACATGGGGGTCCATGTTCCCTTTGCGCTCCCGAAAGGGAGAGCGCGCTCCGCAGCGCTCGCCGCCACCCCGGCCTGCTTCTGCTAGAGTGACAGATGGCCTCACTGAGGTCTGAGGTCTTTTGCGACCTCCGGCCCCTGGCCGGCCAGCGGCGGCTACGTCATCTCCTTCGCAAGCATAGCTCGCAGAAGGAGACGGCGGGGTTCTACGCACTCGCGCCCCGCACCATGGGTGCAATCATTTTACCGAGCGACAGCCATCTACCCTAATGCTGAGAAATTTTATTTTCACCCAGTCTGGTTTTTTCCAATAAAACACCTTGTGAAATTTATCTTTCAGACAATTGGATGCTGGTGATGCTGTAAAGGACACAACCAGTTATGAGGTTCCCATATGCGAGAAAGTGACGTGAACTTAGGTTTTTTTTCCAAAATCACAGTTCACATTTGAAATAGTATTAAGTGACAAATAATTTAGTGTCAATTTGTTTAATTCAATACATGAAACTGAAAAAGATGAAACTTTTTAATTGTCAAAGAAATATTATTAGAAGGTAGATCAAGAAGTAAAGGCGATGTCAGCCCATTAGTGAATCCATTTTGGAATATTCAAGCTGAAATTTTTGTTATAATTTTTTTTTGTTTGAAGGTTCAAGATTAATAGTACCTACCTCAGTCTATGTATAAAGAAATGTTAGAAAAAAATCATGAAGGTCACCTAGGTATCAATAAATGATTAAAATTAGCAAGAGTGTCTTTATATTGGCCAAGTATGCCGGCTAATACTAAAAATTTAGTAAAACAATGTCTTATATGTGCAAAAGAGAATGCCCGTTCATGGTTTCACTTTTAGACGCTCGCGTCGTAATTCCAAATGTAAAAAAAATATTTATTTTAATGTGACTTCGACCCTGAATCTCTTCTTTAGAACATGGGGTTTGAAATTAAATTACTTACTTACAAGGACTAAAACTTGTATCAATGACCATATCCATTTTAAATCAAATGTTGACAGTATATAAAATGAACCAATGGTTGAATGCAAATTAAACATCATTTTAAAATAAAATGGTTAAATAATTATTTAAATATTGCAGTTTAGTCTTTTTATTTATCTTGTTATTTCGTGTATGTAGTATTTTATTCAGTGAATGTATACTTCAGTGTTAGTTTTGCGTTAATTTATACAGTGTATCCTTGTCAAAAACACTAACAAAAACTAACGTCAGTGTTACAATATTTTCTCGTTGTTAATATTTTAACATTTAGTTTCTCAATAACCACAAGTTATGTTACTATATACGTTAATATGCAGGCTTAATAATACAGATTATACGTATTTGACACAAAGCAAAAAATTGTAAATCTGATTTTCATACTGAATTGGGCATTCTCCTTTAAACCATGTAATCAAACAAAACGACTACAAAATTTTGAATTAAAAAGGTTTCCATGGCAACAAGTTGGTATTAGTTTAATGTATTTTGAAAATTTGACTTATTTTATTGTCACAGATTAGTACTCTAAATATATGGAAATTACTTTGTAACTACTAGAAATTGGCTTGTATATATTGACTGACTGTCGCAGCAGTCTATAGATTGAGTTGTGTAAGACTATACATAACTACCCTGCATTGTTACTCACACAAAGTTAAATAAAACAGTACAGACAAAAATGTAATAATACAGTTAAAATCCAATCTTGATTGTCATAGAATGCCTTTATCTTTAGTGTCTGGTGGTGGTCCACCTCGCCAGTCTTTACAATTTATTTATTTTTTAAGTGAATGAGACATAGAACATAGTATTACTAGCCCATATCATCCACAGTCGAATGTTCAAGCAGGGAGTTCTGTAAAAATTATCCAAAATATACTGAAAGAGTGTAAAGAAAATTCCTCAGTGTGGTATAGTAAAACTGAAGAGTCCATCATAAAAAAATCAAAAATGTTCTGGTCCTTCATTAAGTCTAAATAAAAGGGCTCTAACACTCTGCCGTCCACTATGTCTTTATGTCAGACTTATGGTACAAATGGTACACTGATACACTCGAATTTCCTCACAACTTCAGACCGAAGCTCAAATACCTCAATCCGAAAAAATGTTCCCCCTTCTGATTCTTCACTAAATGTAGGCGACAGTAAAATAAATGAAAAAAGAACTCCGTGCTTAGGCTCCTCGAATCGATCTAGCCAAAGGCCTTACCATATACCGCCATTATTCATTGTCTAGTGCTCCAAAGGACTAGTTAAGCCACTAACGATATCATTTATACATTCTGTTCGGGAAGGTATTGTGCCTAGTGCATGGAAGTACGCGTACACAACACCAGTGCACAAAAGTGTAAGTAACTTCAGGCCCATATCTAAATTATGTTTGTTTGGGAAAAATACTTGAAAGCCTTATTTACACACCCAAGTATACAGCTTTTTCCTCGAGCAGACGGGTCACCTGATGGTAAGCCTAAATTACCGCCGCCCATGGACATCTGCAACTCAAAAGTCACAAATGCGTTGCTGCCCTTGGAGTCCCTCCCGCTCGAGTCAGCGGGAGGGGGGATTTGGGCTCCGGTAACCTAACTCACTCAGCGAAAGGCAACGAAAGAATTGCTTAACACCGGTTTTCTGTGAGGCCGTGGTATCACTCCAGTCGAGCCGGCCCATTCGTGCCGAAGCATGGCTCTCCCACGTTAAAAATAATATATTATTGGATAAAGATTTGAGGTGGCAACATTGGCTTCTCCTCCGCATCCGGCATGGCTTAACGCTGTCAAGTTCGAGGTGTCAAGGGGCGCGTATGTGTTTGAACTTGTACAATGCTAACATCGGCTTTTAAATACTTTACAGTCAAATATTGCAGTTTTCGTGTTGATCGAGTCCGTCTCTCCACCGAAATTGTAATATTCATTGTAATAATTAATTTATTTTCTTATGTTCAATCAACAAAACTAAGTTTATGAAACGCCAGGACCAGGTTTGTTTGTATATGTATATTCACAAGTAACGACGAATCTTGCAATAAAATGTAGTTTAGTGTGATTCTTTCTTTGTTGTACAAATAAGCAAGCCCACTATCTGTAGGAGTTCGCACCCTACTATCGTTGACTGCGCCGGACAGATATATTATGACCTGCCGCAATACCTCGTCTCCGTGGCAACCCCTACCGGACCATCCTCAACACCTGACCTGGTGCTGGTTAACAGGCGCTCCTCGGGATCCCCATTCCTCGGAACTCGACCTCGCCCTCCCCAAGCACAGAGGGTGACACTAGACGAGACCTGGGCGTAGAGTAACCACGAGAATAGATCTGTGACGCGTTACAAACCATCGTGGCAAAAGTTCACGTGAAAGCTGAACCATCATCTCCTGCAGACTGAAGCTAAATGAAATAACATCAAAGTTTAAAATAACTGTTGACATTAACATTTTTACATTAATATTTAGGTAAATTTGGCTTCTACGGGATTTTGTTCTGGAGCAAATGAATTACAATAAACTAAATAAAAAATTACCTCCTTCCTAAGGAGAGGCCTATGTCCAGCAGTGGTCTAGTAAAGGCTGTTGATGATGAAATAAAAAAAATCTGTGTATTATGGCGTGTTGGTGTGAATGTCTTCTGTTTCTGTACCTGACTTATCATAATAATAATATAATTAATAACTCACTCAATAAAATAATATCTACATTGCACCCGTACGAAACCGTCGCTAGTATCAAATAAATACAAAACAATTGTCGGAGTATCTCTGCACCGAAGTGACGCCGCGATGTGTGCAGATAATAACCACAAAGAAGCTAATTTACGATAAGTTATGTCGTTCATATTTTGTAAGATAAGTTTTGGTGAATAAATAAGCTTTATATTTTGTATGATAATTTAATCTAAATGTTATTTGTACATTTCTCTGTGCAGAAAACAAAGTCAATTTTGTGACAACATAGCTTGCCACTTGCCACAATCACAAATATTTTCGCGCCAGCGCCAACTAAAGACAAGACACTAGACAGCTGATTGGTTAGTCAGGTCAGCTGCCAAAATTGTGCGATTACGACACATTTTCTGATTGGTGTTTCTAATCACGTGACTCACGGATAACAAATCCTATTTAGTTGTGAATTGTGAGGCTATGGTATCACTGAGTAGCTCTCCCACAGTCAACTCTATTGTAACTCATTTGGGTAAAATAAATAATTACACTTTAGTTTCTCTTATATTTTAATAAATCAATGTATTCAGTACTCAGAGATAATTTTCACAGAATTTTTTATAATAAATTATGGACATATCAATCGGGTTGCCTCCCAGCTTGTGATGTAGATGTTGTAGAAAACTCCATACTGTAACAAAAATAGATAAATAATATAAGTATTTATGGTCAGTTGTTATCGTGTGGACATCTCCAACCATAGGATGGCGAGCCTCCTCGTGTTATTCTTGTGTTTGTATGACATAGGGGGCAGTCGAGCAGGCGGTCACTTGATGGTAAGTAATTATCGCATGGGCACCTACAACTTTAGAGATACAAGGTGTGCGTTACCCCAGCAAAATAATGTCGAAAATGGTCATTTAAACTTTATAGATAATTAGTTGCTCCCCTTCTGTAATTGTTAGGCACATTTTTAAATTTGTTTCACTTAAACTTTTTTAGTTATTTCAAAAAAACATTTCCTGCTGGGGTAACGTTTGAAACGTTACCGCAGCCAGACATTTTCTTTTTTAATTGTAATAAATTTTAGCTAGATAATTAGTTATCTGGACTAGGTAAATGTTACAACTTATTTGGTATTTGTATTTTCTTCGGTTGCGAAGTTATTCGAAATCCTGCTGGAGTAAAGTTTGTGGGTTTGCTGGATCTCTGAAACGGGTAAGCGGATTGTAACCATCTTTTGTACATAACTTCTTAAGGATTAGTTTTAATTTGTTCGACAATAAAATAACAAAAATAATGGACCGTTTAAAAATTATTTAGGTAAGTATGAAAACACTTCAATACGTCCTAACACTTTAAATAAGACCTCTAAAGACTTACTTGAAACGTTATTCTATTGCTTGTAACTACCTTCAAATGTATACGAATTTTCGTAAGAATACTGTAAGTGACTAAAAAGTTATGATGAAATGTAGCTCTCCACGTTCACGATCACAATGTGTGCGGCCTTTTTTGGCCACCGATAAACCTGTGTGTGGACATATAAACTGAATGTTATGCCAATAATTAGTTGTTTAGTTCAGTTGTCTACCTGTAAAATTTCAGCGTAGTACATATAATAATTTACGAGATAATTAAATAAAAGTCATTAGAAGGTGCAAGACCGTGGTAACCCGACCATGTTAAGGTGGTTACAAAAAAGCGATCACCCAGTACATTGCGCTGTCTTTTGAAATGTTTAGTGTAATACACCTTACGATTTCGGTACAGTTGTGTACAGCGTTACAAGTGCACTATCGACTTTTGGTAAACCTACCCCTCCCCCCACCAGAGTAGGGCGAGAAGGGGTTGAACCTCATTCATTGGATGAAAAAAGGATTACTTAACATAAGTTTTCTGTTTTTTTTGAGAAGCCATAGTAGATATTACTGAAGGAGCCCGCCCATTGGTGCCGCAGCATGCCTCCTCCTCGGCTTAAACTCATACATACATACACTCACGCCTCATCTCTAAAGTGGTAAGCTAAGGCGTACTAAACTAATACTATACTTACTGTTGGTCCACGCTTTTTGTTGGTTCTGACGTGGCTTCAAGGTTGGAACGCAACAAATGGTGAACAGCAGACGTTGACCTGATGGAAATAAAACATTCTTTAGCACTGCGTTTAATTATTATTTTTTTAAACCTCCCGCACTAGGAATAAATCCTGTGTCGCGGGGGACTTTACAAACATACATGATACGGACACAAAGAACACCCAGACTCAGAACAAAAATTTGTGAATCACACAAAGTGTCGTCCCATGTGGGGATCGGACCCACAGCACTCAGCGTAGTAGTGAGCGGCGTGGCGACCGCTTAAACCACTATGCCATCCGTGCAGTCAAAACAAAACTGGACTAACTTTTGTAGGGACGTCATGTCAATTCTATCATCGTCCAAGACGGTATTTGATCTTGAAGGTCAAATTTCGTATTCTGCGAACTGGACACAGCGATGGCAATTTTGGTAATAAATGTAAGTTCTCGTCACTCACTCGCATATTGGAACGTCAAAACTGGTTGTGTCCTTTACAGCATCACCAGCATCCAGTTGTCTGAAAGATACATTTCACAAGATGAATATTTAAAAAAAAACACGACTGCGTGAAAATAAGATTTCTAAGTAATTGTGTTATTGTACAATATGTGTAATAATTTATTATAATAAAAACAAATAAATCATTTCCTCAAAAAACGTAATATATTTTCAACTACCGATATTTATACCGATGCCAATGGCTACTAGATGGCATCTCAATAGCGTGTCAGTGGTATGACACTGGCTTGGCGTAATAGCAGAATTGAGGCCCTGAACAGTATTCAAGTCGTTCTAAACTAGGGTCAGTATACTCACTCATGATCCTCGTCATGTACAGGCTCTTGTTTAACCGTGACGTGTGCTGGAGCCGTTGGCGGTAATGACTGATGAATGGCAGACAGCTGCCTGCAAGGATATACACAGCTTAGTATCTATAATAATTTTATAAAGGTTTGTTTGGTTGAAGCTAATCAGGAACTACTGGTTCGAATTGGAAAATTATTTTAGTGTTGGATAGCTCTTTCTTTAAGAAAGGCTACGGGCTATATAACATCAGGCTGCGAACAATAGAAGCGGGCGGATATGAAAAGTGTTACAAAAACGGGGTATTTCATTATTTTTGAGGTACGCAGACAAAGTTGCGCGGATTAGCTAGTATGTAATAAACTCCATAAATTAAAATTAAATAGTTGTAACCTTATCTCATCGGACTTTCCTGTGTAAGCGTTTCGTAAAAAGAAACGGAAATGTGTAACAGGAAGCCGGGAGAGCGCACGCTGTTTGATTTGACCAATAAGCGCGCAGTGTTAGAGTTGTCCGTTATTTAGCAGCTGAGATGACTACACAGCATATGCGACTACTGTACAGCTTCTTGTATTTGTCTTTATATATCATCATCATAGTTAATTTAATGGTGCACTGCTGGACACAGGCCTACTTTAACACGCTGGCCAGAGGAGTTGGTATAGGGTTTGTTTCAAGTTTTTCTCTGCAGTGCTGTTGTCCTGCTTAGTTTGCTGCCTTAGTCGGCTAAATAGGGGTGGCGACACTCCGTATTCTTAATCCGCCACCACACGGTCTTTAAATAACTACAGGTCAATATCAAAGTGCTAATATAACATTAGAAATATGGCGTATTGGTTTGTGTAACGGTCTTCTATTCCAAAGGCCGTGGGTTCAATTCCCGCTCAAGTCAAACATTTGTGTGCATGAACATTTAATGTTTGATTTGGTCTGGGCGTTTCTATGTATAATATGTATGTATTTACAGAAAAAAAAAGTATATATGTATATATATCAGTTATCTAGTACCCATAGTACAAGCTCTGCTTAGTTTGGGACTAGATGGCGTTGTGTCAATGTGGTAGAATATTAGAAATATAACTCACTGCGTTGATAGAGGCTGTATTTGAAACAAAATTCCGTGATTGGCTTCGCTGTGATATTCTTCGCTATCGTCAATTTCCACCTTTAACGTTTCTATTGGATGTTCCTCTATGTCGATGTTACTGAAAGTAATTACGTATTTGTCAGCTAGACCCGACTGAATTCGCAACTTAAGTATACCTCCGATAGTTCCTAACATTTAGTAACCTAACTTTATTTTTTAAGTATTTAAATCCTTCTATATCATAAATATCTTCTATATCTATATTCTAAATTAAAAAGTCATGATGCATTTCTGTAAGAATACTTACCGTAAGAGTAAAAAAATATAGGTTTTAAATTAACCGAAATTATTGCCATTTTCTATCTTTTTTTTTTAATAGCAACACTTTTTAAACTATGGTATTTATTTGATTTGGAATTGTATATTGGAGTATTGCTGGTATAACTTATTTGAACTAAGTTAGAAATTTTACCGTAATTCATGACAACAAAACTCCGACGCGTAAAAATGTATAGATGCCAAAGAAACATTATGTACATTCACTGCAAAAACATGATCCTCCTTCTGGAACAGTTTAGTCTGGAACCCTTCAGATACGGCAAAGCCTGGACTTATCTGGTACCTTATCTCTACAGAAGTAAGATAGAGCTGATGAAGCGTTAATAGACGGAACCAACACCTAAAGGAACACTTACCTCTCTCCGTCACCATGTTGAGCATCATCTGCGCTTTCACCACCTGAGTCTTCTTCGATCGTACTTAACAGAAAGAAAACAATAGGGTATTTGACTATTTCAAAGTTTTTATAAACTTTTAAACTAAGATAATGAGAAAACGTTTAAGGTAGAAAATTATCCATTTAAAGCAAATTATTGGACAATACCAACATATGACTTCACAAATTGCTATTTCAAATAAGTGTTCTAAAGAATCATTTTCCAGGCCAATAGAAAGACTTTTGACATTCTAATATAGTATTTATAGATCAGTATAAGCTACTATCGTTTTATAAATACGCATTATGGCCTGGTCTGTATCGATAATAAACACAATATTTATATTTTCTGGATAATATTATTATCTCTCTTTCACGTTCCAGTCAACATAATCACTCACCTTACATCTTCGTCCTCAAAGTCGTGAGTCACTTTGGCGCGTTTCCTTGAAACAGACTCACGCGCATACTCCTCTGAGCTTCTTTCCTCTAAAATCTCTTTTACGGTGGCTTCACTGACCCTCGTGGCTGCAGCAGTACGCTTGACGATGTTAGCTAGAGGGCTGAAGTCACAGCTGCCTCCGGTGTAACTCTTTAAGTTCTCATACTCGGCTTGGAGGAAGTCGTACACATTGGCGATGATGGTTTTAGCCTGGAAATACGAGTGATAATAATAATGGAGATTAGGGCAGGTCTGATACTTACTGTCAAGTTTTTAGATCAAAATAAGACTGCTTCGATTATATTTGTGTAGGTGACTTTTAATTTCTTTGTTTTAATACAACAGATTTATCATCTGAGGGCCAATTACAGGTTTTTACTTCTAGCTTTAGACTAAAAGAAGTTATTGTAAGCAAGTAGGTTAAATCAAATCAATTTATTTTCAAACACGGGTACATTTATTTGTATTACAAAATATAGGAATTATGTATTTAGAAATATAAATGTAACGCGTTTGTAAGTAACTAATTTATTTTTGCATTTTTTGTCATTATTGATGATTATTTTCTCATTAAGACTAAACAAGTAAGTGAGTCACATATGCTTCAGCACACGCCTCTTGGTACGTAGCAAAAGACACTATCGTAGTTTTAGGTATGGAAAAAGCCGTTAATCCTGAAGATCCTGATCTGGATAATCTACCAAATTCATCAAATTATTGTATTGTGATCGGTCCTTGACAAGTGTGCCAAGTTTCAATTTAATTTGACGTTTGAAGTGGGTAAAAATTGCATTCGAAGATTTCGTTACATAGATACATACGTACATACAAACCAAGTGGTTTAAGCGTCGACACAATGTTACATTATGCCTATTTGAAACAATTAAGGCTTAGACGCCTTAATTGAACGACGAGAACGAAGTGACGAGCACGGTCATTTACTCTGTGTCTGGGTGTTATTTATCTATGGCATTCATTGATATACAAAAAAACCCAAGATACACAGTCAGGATATCAAAACCGTCCGCATAAAATGAGCGCTAAACTCCAAATTGAGCGCTCATTTCAAATAGTCTCGCATCGCCCGTGTTTATGCACGCACGACAAAAATGCCAAAGTGTTCTATGAAAAATTGCAAAAATAATACGTCAAGAACTTTAAAAAAGGATGGAATATCTTATTTTCGGTAAGTAAAATAGTTTATTGATTTGCTTTTCTGGTTTTCATGACTAAATATAGGAAGTATTATGTGATTTTGATTTATTATTTCTAAAATCTTCACTTAACGGTCCAATATAGTACAGCACATTTCAATAGGTTCGTATCAGTGTAAGAACAACGCATTACAACGTCCTTTAAATTAGTCGCTTAATACAAATGACCCTGTTCGTTTCCAATGGAGTCGATTTTTTAATATTGAACTATATTTTTTTATTAATAAGAATAATAAGTTTGTTCACGTTTTGACTTTATTTGAGTGTAATTTGTAACTAATGTTTATATATCATACAATATAACATAGTTTCGAATCGACTTTCAAAAGTTGAAGAGGCAGTCATGTTGACTATTTTTTTTTTTTAATTTTCTGTATATTTCGATTACTTAGGACTTCTGATTTTTGTAGGTATGTACCAACTATATACCTCCTATATGATTTCTAATTTTAATATTTTAGTTTTCCTCGTGACCCAATACGATGTGAAGAGTGGAAATCAATCGTCAGTCAGCAAAGGCGTGAAGATTTTTTAAGCCAAATAGATCAAGTGTAGTTTGTTCAGAACATTTTTTGGACGAAGATATGTATGTCACTGCAAAAGGCATAAAACGTGTTCTTAAAACGGCTGTTCCTCGTGTAGCGGTAAGTAACTATGGTTACCCAGAAAATAGTTTGTCGAATTAGTATCGTTATTAGGTACCTCTTGATTCGAATAATTATTTTTAATAATCATATCTTTTCAAGTCCTTAAGATTGTAAGTAACTACAGTGAAGAACGAACGGAACTTTATTTCCGTTTTACAATAAAATGTTACTTGGTATTCTTATAGTTACTTATCACTTTAATGTTGCTTACAGATTGAACCGGACAATGGCGATGATACTGAAGTTGGTCCTACCATGTTCGTTTTAGACAACAACAAGGAATTCAAATCTCCTACTACTTCTCTAAGTATAGGCTCAATTTTGGATACACTTGGAAAAGTTACTATAAAAAGCGAACTGCACAAATGCCGCAGAAGGCTAATTAGTAATAAAAAAGTAATTGACAACTTAAGGAAAAAAAATTCTAGGCTTGTTGAGAACATATTTTTATAAATTATTAAAATTAAAATATTAAGTGAACGTAGTATAAAAATAAAAAGTATAAACATAATGAAGTCTCCATTCCATGCCTTGTCCTACCAGCAGACTTCGGTCGTAAAATTTTATTGCTTTTTGTACACTGCTTTGTAAAAAGAGCTTTATATCATGTGCGTAAGGTTGAATTTGCAAAAAAATATGTTTATAACATAACTATAACTACTCAAGTGTGATTGGAGACAGATTCAAGTGTTACTTTAGTTCGAGACTGTGTATCTTGGGTTTTTTTTGTATATCAATGATGGCATTTCACATTCGTCGTTGTCGACGTTGGTTTGCCATATAGGCACAAAATAAACATTAAGAAATATATATGTGTTTATCAGCAGTCTGGTTACCATAGTACAAGCTCTGCCCAGTTTATGTTACGTTATTATTCTAAGCCTGCGGCCGTGTGTGAGATGTGTCAGGTTATATTTATTGTATTATAATTACCTCGGGTAAGGCCACCTTTCTTTTTTTCTGCGAATCGTTTTGCTGTGATGTTGTGGGACTCGTTGAAGGCTAAAAACAAAAAGGTTCAATATTAAGAATGACTGCAACTAAATACGTTGTATTAGTAATATATTTATTCAGATGCCGCTCTTTAGAATTCATTGAAGAAACAGCCAAATGAATATTACAAAGAAATCTTCGTAGATCTATGAGTCTTATGAACACAGAAATCTAAATAGGGCATTGGGATATTTAATTGGGCAATTTTTTTAGGTTATGTTAAAACTAATCGATACTACAGCGCTGAAATAATTATTTTACTTGTCTAAACATTGAGTTAAAACAACACTAGAGAAGCAAACCTCATTATCACACGTCGAAAAAAGTGTAACCACTTTTGAACTTTGACGACGTAGCTTTGATACCACTAAACATTTGAAAGTAAACATATTTATGTCTCATTTACACGCAAGACAAGAACAATACCATCGCTCGGATTAGACAAAGACAAAGATATAACTTTACGATGGTGGGCCAGTGTTGACTACCGTATGAAATTTTACCCATAACAACTAAGAAACAATTTTTTTTTAAAACAATTTTGTAATAAAATAAATTAATTTAAATATTCTAAATAATATATTTCGAATTGAATAGAATAGGTATAAATAATAAAATAACTGGAAATATTTGGTTAAAAGGGTTTATATTCAGTGTAAAATCAAACTGCGCTGTGAAGCATCAGTTTTGTATACAATTGTCTTTTAGACTCTTTTTATAAGTTTGTGTGGATATTTTACTTTCATGATACAATCTTATTTTTACGTATGTAAAAATAATAGCATTTAATAATAAAAGTGAATGATCAACATGTACTGATAATAAATAATCCCCAGGGTGTATTGCAAATTCTATTATAATTTAAAAAACAAATAAAAAAAAATATTTTATAAAAAAAAATATTTATGTTTATTTACTTTTTTATTTTATATTTTTATTTTTATGATAAACATTTATTATTATTATTATTATTTTGTACAATTATTATTTAAAATTGATAATAAATTAAGAAAAACAATAAATTAATTTTTTTGTACAAAAGTCTCCAGCGAACGTTGAACGGGTCCCTAAAAAAAGGGATCGGTCCAGCCCTAGCAACTACCGTTCTTCCTATATTTTATTATTATTGGCAAAATGTTTAAAAACAGTATAAAGCATATTATTTCATAAATTATAAATTCTCCCACTAATGTGGGAAAACCAAAATGATTTTTTAATGGTAACACTGATTCTAGATTATAATTATCAGTGTTTTATTTCAATTATAGCCTTATTTACGATATTATCAATACAAAAACCATAAACTTACACGTGAAAAGTAATTCCGCATGATTTATTAATGTTTTGTGACCTTAAATCGCATTCTTTCACTACGCATTTAGCCATTTTGGCGATTGTTACTGTCATGTGTCGCTATGTTCAACTCGGTTGACGCCACATTGAATAATGAATTGACGTTTGCTACGCATATGCCTGTGGACATATGTGCAGTAGCAACGATTTTAGGCGGTAATTACTCATCTATGTAAGTATTATATCAATGTGTCTAAAACACTACGAATGCGCAGCGCTGCATCGCTGAGCGCACGGAGGAATCAAATTGTTACGATCAGAGGGAGGTAAGCGCGGTACAGTGACGAACGTGCAAAATTGTTATCCATTTTAGTAGGGTTGTCACAATAGGTGGAGACAAATTAAACAATACATTTGTTAAATAATTTTATTATTCAGAATAATAGAATACTTTACAAATTACTTACTCTAAGTTGTTATAAGACAAGTCTACGTATGTATTAATAGCTGATGCAACATTTCGACTTAAGAACCTTAGTAGCTAGTTTTACCCGCATTTTCTGGCAATCATTGGAGTTGATGTGAAAATCATTCAATTTGGGTGCAAATCGTATTTATCTTGATTGTACAAGTCTTTCATATGTGACCATTTGGCAACTTTATTATCAAAATGCAATTACATGTTTTAAAGTTGTTTCTTACACATTTATAAGATGCGGGACATGAAACATCTAAAAAAAATTGTGTCCATTTACTTCGAGATATGTTTTATCACTAGTCACGGAACATAACTTTGATGCTTTAATGAAATCGAATCCGTGTTGGCGCCTTATTTTAAGGATACCATGGAACGCACATCGCACAAATGTTTCCATACTGAAGCAACTGAAAATAGAGAATGTTCAGCGTCTGTCTTTAACTTGCAAGGTATTATTAAATATTTCGGACATGTTGCTCGCCGAAATCATGACAAAATGTGACCGGAGGGGTAGAAGGGAAGAGACCCAGAGGCATAAAACCCAGAAGATGGTCAGACCATGTCGCTGAACAGCTAGAAATGCCAATAAGTATCGCACTCCATCAAGCGACTGGAAGCAGATGGTTGACAGGATGAATGGGAGTCACGATCCTCAGCAGTGGGGGATCAACTAAGAAGAAGAATAAAATCTGAAACAAATATATATTATATATATATATATATTTCACTAGCAAAAGTTGGATTACCTGATATTCTTGTACAGAGACATTCTCAAATTGATTTAAATTTACACTCGTATTTAATGGCAAATTAACCGTTGGAAAAGTATTTTCTTGTACAGAGCTGGAACTTGCACTTTCTTTCGACAGCAATTTGAGTGTTGGAAAAGCATAATCAAACAAATATTTTACAGTTCCATTTTTAGAAAACTTTATACAGTTTCTTTCGAAGTGATCCTCACATATTCTGTATTGTTGTCTCGTTTTATAATCAACAAGCGTTGGAAGGAGATCCTCGCGCCCGACAGCTTTGAGCCAATCATATCGCCTGAAACAAAAATAAAATGACAATGCAAACCGAACACGATTATACATAAGACATAGGTATATTTTAAAGATTATATACCTATTTTTTAGTCGTTTACTGTCGTGGTGGCCCAGTGGTTGAGGCACCCGCCTCTCATGTATGTGGTTGCGGGTACGAAACCGGGCAAGTACCAATGTGAATTTTTCAATGAATATGTACTTTCCTGAGTTTATTAAGGACATTACTGACACCCTGTGCCTCGGATAGCACGTAATGCCGTAGGTCCCGATTGTTAGTCGTATATCATTGACAGTCTTTACAGGACGCCAGATAGTCTGACCATCAGTCTATCCAAGAGTATAGTGTTACCCAATAACTGGGTTGTGGAGGTCTGAAAGGCAGTCGCTCCATGTAAAACACGAGTATTCAGCCACATAGACATGAAACCGACCCTAAGCTAGTTGAACAAAGGTTAGGGAGGTGATTACACCCATTTTTTAAATTTTTATTTAATTTAAAGACAGACCGACTAGTAGCGAGAAATAAAAACGATGTATGAATTAATGAGAAGTTTTCATTGAAAATGCTTTTTAAACGCGTATTCAAACTTTCATGATCATGCTGCTGTTGAGGAGTTCCCTCGTGAGGGGACTATCCTGTCTGCAGCAACAGTTTATGGTGAAGATCATGTTTAGCAAACAAAATTAAATTCAAATGCAAAGTTTCGAAGTCCATGCCACTAACCGTTAAAGAGTTCCCTCGTAAGGAGACAATGCTGCCTGCAGCAGCAGTTCATGATGAAAATCGTGTTTAACTATCAAAATTAAAGTTAAATACAAAATTTCGTGACCGTGCTACTACCCGTATAATAGTTCCCTAGTGAGGAGACATTCCTGGCTGCAGCATCAGGTTCTGTCTATCATATTATTGCATTGTCACTGATGTTACGGTATACAAAATTTGAGCTTAATCAGACGTCGGGAAGTGGTTCAAATTTTACTTGCAATATGTGAGACACATATACCTACTACGTACCAACCCAATCCCATACCTACAAATGTTTAGTAAAAGCTTGTAATAACAATAAAAAGGTAAAACACACCTAGTAGTACCCTATTCTTATAAAAAAATAGGATCATACAATAAAATAAATGTACTTACATGAAAAAGTATCAATAAAATATTTCCTTACCTATTGTACTCCTTAGGATAGTTAAAGTATGATATATTTTTATTTTTTCTATTATTATTCATACACACAGTACAATAAACAACCATTATTAATATTAAATTAGCGTTTTTACATTAAAATATTCAAACTTGCAACTAACAAAACAAACACGTGCGTCGCACTGACCCTGAGATTATCAACTGGCTGTGTGCCAAGTCTCGCCGCGTATGCGACAAGTGCCCAGTGGTCACGCACACATGCCCCGCGTGCTTGTAGTAGTGCAACCGATTCGCGCGGTTGTATGAAGCTTTATCTCTGTTCCGTTGATCTATCTCCTCATGTGACTTTTATGGCGCTTACGCGTTTTAATTCCCGAACCTTTACTGAATGAGCTCCTATAGACTAAAATAAAAAACAAAGCGGACATTTAACTTAAGAGCCATTTCACAAAATGATTACGCTCGGGTTTAGGTAAAATACTGCATCATTGTTTATGTGTGCGTAGCTACGCACTCAAACGTAACATAAACAGTGTAACGCGAAAGCCGAGACGGACGAAGCAATCTTGAGCCGTAATGTGATTTTATATGAGATTAATAAAAAGTTATACATTTTATTTAGTCTAATGAAATTTTTAAGCTAGGTAAATAGAAAAACAAAAAGATATGGTATGTAAAATAATATAATAACAATTAACATAAAACAATCACATATTATTGTCGGTTAACAACTACATGCTTACGCTATAGGAATATTTGGCGTAAAGGCATTGATCTTGCCTTTCTTGGGTCTATGATTTCCGGTAATACGCACTCTTGGTAAAACCGAGTCAATTTGGGTAGCATTTTCTCCTGCCAAAAAACGTCATCTTTCTTTACTCTTACTACTTTCAATCGAAAATCAGGCCCAGTCCATACAGCAAATACACATATGTCTTTTTTCGCTAGGTGCAGCTGGCCCTGAACCTGGTAGTACCAGTCGTGATTTTTGTTCATCTCGATTTCAGATTGGCTGTTCACTTTGAAACATTTCAGATTTTTAGCTTGCAAAGCGGTATCAGGATCTGTTCCAAAAAGTGAGCTTGGATATTTCACTTCCACTAATTCTTCAGTGCACAATTCATCTGGTGTTGCGCCTAAATAAAAATATTCTTCGTCTATAAAAAGACCACATTTATCTACGAGTATATTAGTATTTTCTTGGACACTGAGTTGTGCCCAAGCCTTTTGTTCACTGTCTCTACCATGTTTTATTGAGGTAATGTGGTCTAGGTAATATGAATATAGAACGGATTTTACAAGGGGAGCAGAATTTTGGTTTGCTCGCCTTTTTCAAATTTTACCAAAGAAGGACGCAGTAAGTATACACCTTCTAAGTTCGAGCCACAAAGAGCTTTCAGCCTGTAATACAGTAGCTCTCTCATTTCCATGGCGGTTTAACACTTGTTCCTTTAAATTGTTCAAAAACAGTTGTTTTCCTCGCTCATAATCTGCAACTTCCATATCCGGTCTTTCATATTCTTCTCCATAATGAGCATCTACAGGATTAAAATTATTTTTTTTGCGAGTACTACCTGCACGTGCTATTACTTCTCGAGTATTTTTTGCATGTCTCCTGGTTTCCAACAATTTTAAAGATTTTTCTGGACTAGTGTGACAAATTGACTTATAAAAAGTGTATTGTGGCTTGCCAGTATTAAAAGATACCACTGCGGCATAACACCTTGTAGTGTAGGAGTCTTTTAGCGAAAAATTGACGCGTTTCCCACCTACCATCTTAGCCACAATACTATTGAATTGTTCTGCGCGATTATTGGTGTAGGCATATAAAAGGCTTCGGGAATAATAGGCGAGTTGAGATACGTTCTTTTTAATCTTCAAAAACAGCGTAGGTATTAGTGGGACTAGATCAGGCTCTTTTTTTCTCTCATCTGTGCAGTAATAACTATCACAATTTAAATGGTCCCCAAAGATGTGATGAGCGTATTTAAAATGTCCTTTTGGAGGTTTTCAATTTTACAGGAACTTGAACTGTTGTGTTGTTGTCTCTGTCTAATAGCAGCACGAACAAAGAGTACGAAGCCTTTTCATACGATCCATATTTAAAAGTTTACGCTTGTTCAAAGGAATAGTTGTATCTTTTCGAAGAAGCATTTTCTTTCCATTATAATTCCGCAACAAATGGTTTGTACATTCAATTTTTTGAATTGGAATATCCGGATATGATGTGTAGCACTTTACCACTATTCTCTCCGATTATGGCTGCAACACCAGAGAGGGCTAAATAATTATTTTTATACGAGCGTTGGCCCCAACAGGCATCCGCTTCTACCGGTATCCATGAGGTAGCCATGAGGCTATACCCGCATTATTAATATCGCCTCGTGATTTTGCCGCCTCCATTTCCTGTTTAGCAGCATTTACTATAGTTTCTTTAGCAGCAGCCTTCCACATGTCAGAAATAGCGTCGTGTTTTTTACTGTATAAACGAAATGGCATTGTTGGCAAATCCATCGAAGCAGTGATCTCATTAAGGTTTGATAGACCAATTCCCGTAATGTTTGAACCTGATACCACCCTAGCATTAAGGTCAAGTTTTGCTTCAGTTGTGTTGCTGTCCGAAGTTTTTAGAACAAAGCTAGATCCACACATCGTACACTTAATGTCAAATTTAGATATGAGGCCTGTTTATCTTTGTATATTTTGAGATAATTTAATTTGCAGCTGAATTTCTCGCTGTGTTCGCTTATATTTATTAATTGATTCCAAAAGTATTGAAAATCAATTATGCTTCTGCCATCAACTGTATAGTCGTCCTATTAAAAGTAATACTTCATAAATAATCACATTTAAAAAGAAATTAAAAAAAAATACTGTGTACAAAAATACTTACGATTGGCTTATCACTTGTATGGCTAGTACCCGGCACTGCGGCGGTGTCTGATCTAAAGGTGATATCCTCCTCTAAGCGTTTTAGACGATTTTTCATTCTAAAATGAAAATAAAAGAGCTGTTGATTTTCGGTATTTACAAATAAGTTGTGTGTTTAATCAATAAATAATCAGTTACTATGTAAATAAATATTGTAAAAAAAAATAGGTATTTACCTCACTTCTGTTGCTTTCTTTAAGGCTGCAGAATTATCACGTTTCCTTTTTTTAAGACAACGGTATACACAATCCTTGCGCCCCATTGCTAAAACTAATAAAACAAAAATATATATTTATTCTACAAACAATTAAAATCATACATTATACTTGATAATAAACCAAACTTTACCTTGTGAAAAAAATACAAAGCGAATCAATACTATGTGATCGCAGTACAATAATGGTTTCACTCTACGAACGCTCGATAATCGGGACGCGGGAAAAAATGACACAGATCCTTCTTCGATGGGCGCTCGCGCTGTACTAAGCGGTATCCACTTGTGTACCGTAATTTATTGTAATTTCGATTGAAGTTTTATCAATATTTTGACAAAGTTAATGCAAGAACTTCCAATATTACTTTAAAAATCGGTTCTCTAATGAACGTAGTTTATTTTGGAATAATTTTACTTTTGTAATTACTGTGTATTTAAACCAAAAATCACGATAAAATTGCAATGTTAACCTCAAAAATTGGCCCCTTGGGTTTTTACTAAATAAGGGTAATACAATTCAATGATCTGTTACATTTAAGGACGATTAAAAAATATGTGTTATGTATTTTTTAAACTTAATTTATAAGTATTTTTGATTGAAATTCGACTCTGAAATCAACTCTGCGGCAGTTTTTCAATAAAATGGTTGTGGGAAATCGATTACTATAGATCAAACAAGTTATTTTTAGTAAATGTGTTACATTAAACGTCAACACGAAACCTTGGCCCATTTTTTGCCCATTTTCAATAACTTCTAGGTATTACATACTATGGTAATTTAGGAGCCCAAAATATTAGAAATTCGTGCGAAAACGTGAAATGGCTCTTAAATAACAAGTGTTACAATAAACTAAGAAATTGAATTTGTTTATTAATTTTAAACTTATGTCTTCAGTTCATTTTTCATTTATTCTTCCTTGTACACAATAAATATAGTAGCTTCAAATAGCAAAAAAATGCTAGTACAACTAGCAAATCTGCAGATTGAATGGAGAATAGCACAGAAGGTAAGGACTAAGCGTTGTGTACTTAGAAATAAGTAAAAAAAGTATTCAGTTCCAATATAATTTTATTACAAAAAAATTAAGCCGCGGAGTGTCGCAAATGTGAAACAACAAAATTATTTTGTAGAAATAAAAACAAAACCGCATGACACATGTTACATACAATGATCTGTCGAAGAACAGATCATTGTATGTTCCGTCAGTAACCATTTATCTTCACTTCTATTTTTTGTACGAATTTAATCCATCTTTCTCTTATCGAACCCTGATGCGGAAATATGAAAATAGATGTGGCAATTAAAATATTACCATAACGTCTATTTCATTCAGGTTGTAAAATAACAATTGATAGTTCCTACACTCGCGGTTTTAGATAACACAATTTTAAAATTTGGAGCACCTCCGACACCAACATCAACATTAACCCAAGGTTTGGCTGTAGCATCAGGTCAAGGTTACCATATCACCGAAATACCACTAAACAAACAGTACACCAAAATTCAAATACATCGGAGTTGTATAAGTTAGTGAGATCCCTTCCCTTCCATATAAGCTGATGATTTTCACAAGTTTTAGTACAAAATGACCACGATCACGTCAGCTATAACACAAAAAAACCGCATCATAATTCAGAATCGATTTATTCGTTTAGGAGCTACGATGCTACAGACTACCTGTTTATAACCTAAAACAGTAAGTTTAGACATAATACATTTCGATATTTATTTTTCGTTATGAAAATATCGTAACGGCAATACTAAATTAGTTTTTTTTCTATATTGTCGGCATTTCGATGTATCGTTGCATCGCTAACCACAACTACGTTCGACAAGTGATGGTAACAAACGCCATATTTAAGTAGGTACTTACATAGTACCTACATTTAAATCGCTGAATTATGGTTTTAAGTAATGATAGGCAGGTAGTGTCATAGTCAGAGAATGGACTGAGCGTTACCTCGCAAAAAGAAAGAGACAATACCTGTCTCTTTTCTGCAATCCTTAACTTTTTACTTATTACTGTTGAAGTTGATGGAAGTTCAATCTTGTCAACCAAATGAGCGGTCTGACTTTCAATGGCGCCTTTCGTTAGATGTAACGTTGGCAAGCTGCCATTTTTCAATATTTTTCTTCCATTGACTAATCCGTAACGGAAGCAGTTTTCGTCAAAATGCAAGGAACACAAAGATGTTCGTGTTCCTATAGAGACATTGCTCTTTCCTAGAATGTTTAACCACTTCTGCTTCAATTCCTGATCGGAAGGGAATCTGTAAAATTGTGTCAATAAATTAATTTTCAATGTAATTAAAATACATCTCTTGTAAAGAGGTTCGATCATGGAGATAAAATCATTGTGGTGTGATTGTATAAAACCACAATGCAAGTAAAACTTTTTTTCGGGTCGTAGGCATTTATTTGAAAATTTTTAGCAAAGTATAAGATTTAGAGTTTTGATCAAAACACACGAATATAGCGGAGTACTTGCACAAATGATTATAAATATAAATATAAATGCTACACGGTCAGCTAATGCGAGCGCCGCCATATTGGCTTTGGCCGTAATGCGATAGATGGACGAAAAATTTGAGGCAATGTAATACCAGTTTCACTTTAATAATATCCAATTATGTTAACATGCTTTTTTTTAAATTCACTGATCAAGTTTAGCTACTTTTTTACATAATCTACTATAATTTACATAAAATATTCAATACACTTGATGTTCATAACCTAAACACATTAAAACACTAAATAATTACACTTGATATTCATAACCTGTCTTGTTTGTAAACATACCTGTGGTAGGATCTTTGAGGGAGTTTATCACTTCTCCACTTGCACAAAAAACACGTATAAACCATTTTTGACAGATACTTTTTAAAAATAATGTAATACTTTTAATTAACTTTATTTCAATTAAGTATCAATAAGAATTATAACAATATAAATAGTAAACGCTCTCTACAACACAATGCATGACACTGGGATTACAGTAGTACATGCCGCATGCGTCATGCAGCGCAGAACGATACACTCCTGACCGCCAGTGACGTGAACCAATCAGATAATAGAAAGAGAGAACTAGTGACCGCACGTTAGCTTTGTCTCTCTCGTGTATTCACTGTACAACTTAATACGGCACGCGCAGTCCATTCTCTGTCTATAGGTAGTATATATAGAGTAAGACATAGGGATTTGAACCATCAACCACCGGGAACACGTGTCACCGGCGCGGTGCTACATTTGCATACACATATATTATTACTATATATATATATATATATATGTATATACACAATTGATGCAGGCGTAAGTCACGCGTATTTACACGCACACACGCGTACAAGTAATGTTGCTACCGGAATTAGATTTTTCCCCAAAAATAGGGAAATATTTCCTGCTACTTCCTTAAGTCCTTATATTTATATATATTATATTTTTTTATATTTAAATAGTTTATTGATTTCAGCATTACAGCAATTTTGTAGAAATACACAGAAAAACTATAATACCGAAAGCAAAAGGTCTAAGCGTCAGCTTATGCTTGGACTTCACATGGATTACCAAGCGCTGGTTTTCAGCTTAAACCTTTAACTCCCGTTTACAAAAAATATATAAATAACTTACTGATAAAACATTTAGATAATTTCTTCGTGATCACACATTACCAGAGGTGTTAAAAATATAAAGAGACAGAGGTTTCTGCACTTTATAATGTAATTTCGCAGACAACTTTCAGCAACTCTGCAGCTAAAATATACTTCTTTTGATGTTTAAATTAATTCACCCTTGTCCCTTAAACATACCAACTTATGAAACCATTTTTTTTTCGGAAACATCTTATTGGCACAAAATTCACATTTTACTCTAAAAGTAATACGTCTTACTAAATTGCCGGTTATATAAACAACAATGTAATTTTATGTGACTGTTATACATAAATCAGATTACATTTAAAAGAATAAAAGGAGTATGACATATCATCTCCCCCTTTTCTTTTTTTTTTCCTGTGCGGATATCCCCTCGGATACCACTTACCGGTGGCAATGTCGGACTCGAACCGACTAAAACCGCATGCCGCCTCAAGTGCCAGTAGTCGGGGAACCAGGTGTACCCTAGAAAGGAAATCCCTGGTGCCTGGGCCATGTACGGCGGGTAGACGACCCTCCCTGTGTGGGACCCCTATGTTCCCTCTGTACTCCCGGAAGGGCGAGCGCGCTTCATAACGCGCTCGCCTTCACCCCGGCCTGCTTCTGCTCGGGTGACAGATGGTCTCATCTGTCAACCCAGGCCTGCGCTTATGGAGGACGGAGGTCGTTCTGCGACCTCCGGCGCCTGAGTCGTCTGCGGTACCTGGCCCGTTCGCAAGCATAACTTGCTCGCAGAAGGAGACGGCAGAGTTCCACGCACTCTCGCTCCGCACGATAGCCGCAATAAGGTTATCGAGCGAGAGAACTCCCACTCCGATGGCCGCCACGCCGGGCATTCTGCCAGCGTGTGGAGCGCCGTGTCCACGGTCCGACCATCGCAGTGGTGGCACTCAGGCGTTGGCTCCTTGCGGATCAGACACAGGTGATCCCCGAAACATCCTTTCCCAGTGATCACCTGCGTCAGTCGGTATGAGAGGGTTCCGTGATGCCTCTCGAGCCAATCCTCCATAACGGGTCTTACCGCCGCTATTACGGCGTGCCCGGCGCACGGTTGCCCAAGTCGTTCCCTCCACTCCCCTACCCCTACCCAGCGGAGTTGGGATTTCTGGTCATTGATTTCTCGAGTCTCAGGACTCCGACCTTACTCCCGCGCCTCCTTGCGCCACTGATACAGAGCCGCAAGGGCTCTCGCCTCCAAGTCCCACGGTGGAGTTCCGGCCAGGAGACTCGCGGCCTCAAAGGAGATCGTGCGGTACCCCCTTATGATCCTGATGGCCAGCACTCGCTGCGGTCGACGCAGTATTGCGACGACCGCAGCGAGTACTGCGCCCTTAGGGCCTCGGCCCATACTGGGGCCCCATAAAGGGCCATGGACCGCACAACCCCCAAGTAGA